ATATATATATATATATAATAGTTTTAATATAATTATTTTCAATTTTTAGTGTACTTTTAAAACATGTAGTTGAAGAGCTAGATAACTATGAATATACATATCTTAATTCATTGGCTTTACAATTATATGGTTCTTGGATTGAAGAAACCAAATCAGAAAATGCACACTGTATAATAAAAAACTATTTTCAAAAAGTAAATTTCACAATGATAGGGTGAATTGGGGTAAATGTAAATACATTTTTTTCTCTTATAATTAGCAGATTTCGTTTTAGATTGAAAATTTTGAGTCCTTATATGTGTTGCTATCATATTAAATGTAATTGCAAAATAAAAACTTGTATATTTATCTAAAAATGCATTTAAAATTACCCTACTTCACCCTAGTACTAGTATAATAGTTTAATTATGAAAATATATAGAATATTCAATAAATAAAAATATGGGTTTCTATTGTTCTCATTGTTAGTAACAATTGATATGTTTCCTTACTTACTGAACACCTTGTATGCAAGAAAATCCTAATTAAAGTTTTAAAAAAATTTTCAAGCTATCTGCATATGGTTAACTTGAAACTGTCTATAGGATTTGTGTTTTTAGAAAAACAAAGTTCTTTCTTTGAAATTCCTTGAATAAAAAAGAAATTTAAACCTAGTCGAAACTAGCGGAAATTCAAAATAATTTTGAATTAAATTGGATATTTTCAAATTTATTAAACACTTTGTACAGCCAATATATATGGTTTATTCAAAATTAATAGGACAAAGTATTGACTGAAACCATAAAATAAGAATAAACCTACTAAATACATTATATGAACAAGATATAAAGTAGGACATCAAGATATTTGAAAGTCAAGTGTCAGTTTAACTAATATTTGATAGAAAAAGGCTGTAAGAATTGTTTGTAGAACCTTAGGTTCTATAAAATTTGTCAAACTAAAAAGAGAGAACTTTATAAATTTTAAATTGAGTCAATTGGTTTTTTGTGGAATTTTCAAAAGACTCATATATAGTGATAAATAGCTAATGATGATGATTGTCTAAATCTTTCATAGATTTTTGAATGAATTTTAAACATTTCAAAGATGATTGACAATCATATTTATTATATTTGTATCAATTTATTCATAGAATTTTTACAAAAATAGATAATAATATGTCATTCAGTAATTTCAAAGATGATGAAAATACTAAACTAAACAAACTGACTCAATTTAAAATGGTTTAAGTTTAATATAAGATAACATAGTGGTATAACATTTTTTTAAAAATACCTAGTAATTCATGAGGAATATATCTATAAATAATTGGGATTGACATTATGTCTAGACTAAGTGTAATGTGTAATAGCATTTATCCTTGTACTTATGAACAAACCTTGTATACTATACAATTATATAGCCGTCCATATTAATTATATTTTATATCTATATTCTTTTATGGTGTGGCCTAGTTGGTAACACAACAGGGTTAGACACGCACTGCCTCGGGTTTGAAACTTGTTCACGGGTAGCTTCATTTGCCGAACAAGAGATTAGTTCAGTAATTCAGAGTTGGGAGTTGCCATCCCTCTCTCCAGTGACGGACTAACCACCTGTCCCAGTGTTAAAAAACCTCCTTCTTTAGGGGATACCGCTATGGCCCTTAATGAGCTAACAAAGCGATAAAAAAAAAATTTATATTCAATTGAATGTTTGAATTACATATTTAATATTGCAATTTTTTTACTAGGCTATTAAACTTCTAGATGTGGAGTCTATCTCTGCTAAAGAACCTGGCTTAGATTATAGAAAAGTATTATTAGATGCTCATAAACGTTTATCTAAGTATACAGACACATTGTATCAACAAGCATCAAAATACTTAAAAGAAGAAGATCTGCAAAAACGATTAAGTGAAGTTAAAAATGTTAAAGAAAAAGGACATGCTCTTATAACTATGGGAAAATTCACTAATGATATTGATAGATGTAAAGCTGGAAGTTTATTAATGAATCAAAGTCGTGTAGATGAAAGTGAAATTAGCAATACAAATTCTGAAAGAATAAATCATTTGAAATTAGCTTTACAGTATGCATATTTATTTATTTAAAAATTATACTTAATTACTAAAATTATTCTATTTAACTCTTTTTTTCAAAAGGAATTATTTAAGGTTAATTGAGCTAGAAAGTGAAAGTGAGCTTCCTATTTATAGAATTTTATCACTATGGTTAGAAAATAAAGATAATTTAGAAATTAACTCAATAGTTGATGAGGGATTTGAAAAAAGTCCATCTTACATGTTTATATCAGTGCTTCCTCAATTAGTCGCTCATTTATCCTCATCTGAAGATAACAATTACTTTAATTTATCATTAAAAAAACTTCTCGGTACGAAATTTAATTAAAACAATTGTAGAGACTACATTTATTTAACTTTTTTAGATCGTTGTGCTAAAGAACATCCACATCATACATTACCAATTGTTTATGCAGTTGCTAATTCATGTATTGATAGAAAAATTAATGGAGAAGAAATAGATAAAAATGAAGTAAATATTAACTATAAATTTAACTCAAATTTTATTTGTGGAGAGTATAAAAAAAGAACTAATTGAAGAGTAAATTTAAAAATGGTCAATCACTAGAAAAATCAAAAAAATTAATTTTAATAATTCACAGTGAAAATGATGGCCTTGTTATTTTTCTTGAATAATAATTTTTTGATAAAAATGTTCTGAATAATTTTTTTCATTTTTGGGAACTATGGTATATTTTAAAAATAAAATTATTTATAAGCGTAGTTTTTAAAGATAACTTTTAATTTTTAAATTAAATGTAAACTTATGTTTATTTTTATACTATAAGATATCACTCTATAGATTTTAATTATATTTTATTGGGTTGGTATGATAGTTTATATAGATTTAAAAAAAACCCAGCACAGGGGGGTCGCGGCACAGTGGTGACGTAGCATAGTTCAATCAAGTATAATGATATCTGACAGTGATTAAAATCACTATCAAAAAAAAACGCTTCGATGCAAATCTTTAGATAGTGTTTAATTTTAAAAAATTGGTGGATTATTCCAAAAGCTACATGATCTGCTAGTTCATTATTAATATCCTAATTAAGATAAAGTATGTCGAATTAAAAAGGGATTATTAGAAAATATTATTTCTTATAAAAAAATAATGTTGATCCATACATTTTTCAAAAAGTTATAGCATAATAAAGTTAAAAATGGAAAATACAAAATCGAAAATTTTCACACAAAAATAGCATTCGGTAGCCATTTTCACCGTGAAGATAAGATAAAGTCCGAAATTTTTTTTTTTCATGATAAAGCATATTACATTAGCTTTAATTTAAGATATATATAAAAGTGTCAGACCTTCCGGAACATTTTCAAAATTTAAGTTAAAAAAGTTAATTTTTTGTGAAAAAGTTGTCATTTTAAATCCCCCCCTGTGTACAGGTTAAGGGTTAAATTTATGAAAAAAATATACCAAATGAAAGGTTATGATATTACACATCTATATAAAATAAAATTATATTGATATGTTCATTTTTGAAAAAGTTATGGCACTTTTAAGTAAAAAAAATTTCGAAAATTAGCGATTTTTAAATTTGTAATTTTTTTTGAGGTTTCCCCCATTTACGGGGAACGAGGGCATTTTTTTCAATTTTTGAGGGTAATGTCTTCGACTAGATACAATTTTTGATCTTTTGACGTATCATTGAAAGAAATTGGTTCGGTGAGAGCTGAGAAAAAGTGGTAACAGACACAAAAAAAAAAAAAACACATCTTAGTAAAACCAATACCTTCTCAGCTTCGCATCGAAGCTAAAACATTTAGATTAGTTGCCAATAAGTTTGTTGAATGTTAAACTATTAATATTTTATCCACTTTCAGCCCAGAATTAATACTGCTAAGCTTTTAATGACTAAATGGAGAAAAGATAAAAAAATTGGAAATTTCGTTGTAACTCTTGAAAAATTATATGAGGCTCTTATAAAGTTGGCATATACCAAGTTTAACAATGCTTCTCAAAATGAAAGTAAGGCATATTTTACATAAATAATGTACAATATAGTAACATACAGTGCTAGATTACGATATGATCTGTGCATTCAAAAGTTCAAAGTGTCTAAATCAAAAAAATGTGCACAGACGCTAATTAGGGGGAAATTAAAAGGACATCCAAAGTTTCAGAATAACTAATTATAGTTATCGGTTAATAACACTGACATTGATAGCTTGGTAACATTATTTTGTTAAATATTATTAAAATTTATTCTAATGAGTTAATTTGTATCAATAACAAGTTGTTAACATTTTTTATTACAAAATTATAATTATTTGATTTTTTTTTTTTTGTGATATTAGATGTAATATTTCACTGTCCGAACATAAGATGTAGATAAATTTCAATTAGGTATTTAAGATATTTATGTAAATAATCGTACCCAAAACTTTTTTTGAAATTTTGAAAATTACCATTAAGACTGGTATGCAAAATATTAATTTGTCATTAATGTAATGATGCTCTAAAAAAAAATTTACTCTCTCCTTTGCAATTTTTCTATAGCTCCCATTATTTAAAATAGACAAAATATAATCAATTATAATTGATATCATAAATGATTAATACTGTAGTATAATGTCTACCAAAATAATTTATAAGATATAAATTATCTTATGTTGATCACAACATCCATGCCATTTTAATATTTTATTTCTATACTTAAAAATATTTTGAATTAACTTTATTTTCTTTAAATGAAATATTGCATATTTTAGTATAATAAACATTATTAATATTATGGTTATAGGTAGAGTCAATAATAAATCTATATATCAATTGATAACTATTTAAACCATTATAACAGATAAATGTCATGAAGCGATAGTTCTTCTTCTTCTTCTTTTTCTTTTCAAAATTACTTAAACCCTTATACTTATCCTTATCTTAACAATAGAATTTAGACTGTATACTTAATAAAACAATAATTTGTTCATTGTAAAAGGAACGGCCAAACGTAACAGTTAAATATGTGGATTGAATGTGACGGCCGGCCGTGATGCTCAATAATCACGTCAAACAAATTCTAATATTTGATGAACATATAAGTTTAATAAACGTATACGCTTGACAAATAAGTGCATTCAATAAACGTTAAATTGCATTTATTTTTATAATTATAATAATTTAAATAAATACTTTTGTTAATGTACATTCATACTTTGTATTGAAAGCTAGTAAAAAAAATAAAAATAAAAAAATAAGTATATATAATTAATTCCTCTCTCCTCATAACATTACCAAACCATCTAAGTCTATTTTCTCTCATCTTATTCACTATTGAATAAGATGATAATAATAATTCTCTTGGATACTCCTTATTAAGTAATTTTTCAAAATACTTTCTACCTTTTTTTTTTATATCATCATCACTTATTAGCACCATTTTATAAACACTTTTAATACATCTTTCTTTGTGATAATCTTTACACCATTTTATCTTATATTTTCAAGACTATAGAGTTCTTCTTTACCTTTCTTTGTTCCTAGCCTATCATGCAACTCATCATACTTCTTAAACTTCACCTTTGGTAAAATACTCCATCCAATCATCTCTCATTTGCTCTTTTGCCATACTTGAAATGATTTTTCTTACTCTATGATTTTCTGAACGTCCTCATTCCACCGCCAGGTTTCCTAACATCAACAATCTCCTTTGCAATATTCTTTACACAACTAGCAAATCTACTCCACACAAAATGTATATTTTCCTCGACATTCCACATTGTTCCCTCCTTTACCGTCTTTAAAACCTATAAGTATACTGTTACAACTAATCAAGTGTAGTGAACATGACACGAGAATTATGTCACTATTCTTTAACATATTTTTATAATTAATTGTTATTTATAAAAATTTTAGAGCACCAAATTCCTGATGAAGAGTTACTTATGAAAATGAAAAATATTGATTGCTTGTGTCCAGCTTATACATTGCCATTAAATAAAAATGGACAATATTCAAATATTATCAGTAAGAATAACCATTATTAGAATAACATTACATAAAGTCATCTTCATTATAACTTTTTTAAGAAAAGTAAATAGGTTTTGATTACCCAAATTAATTATATATTAATTGGAGACGCTTTAAGTTAAATTGTAGTTCAAAAATTAGATTTTACTGGTTTCTGAATAGTTTTGTAAATTGACTTCTCTAATAAGTCGTTTTACTGAAATTTTATGAAAACTATGAGATGATTCATTTGGCGTAAATAACACCCCTGCAGGCCCCGCAATGTGGGTGGGCGCCAAATTACGAATGCTCAATACCTTATCAATAATTAACATGATTGAAAGTGTAGTAAAATTTAGTAAAGGGGCGCTGTCGAAAATTCTGCGCGGGGGCGCGCGCTTGCTTAGTTACGCCATCTTAAATGAAAGAGAAAGGTATAGTTGAGTTGGGATTTATGATACGAAAAAGTATTAAAGTATTGTACTAAAGTTTTACTGAGAGCTAAGTAAATAATCAGACATCACATAGAAAAAATAATTTGCCTTTCAAATTGCCATCTTCATACACACAAAACTTTTGTTGGATATATAGTGAGAAATGAAGACATTTTTAGGATAGTAACTTAGATTGATGTAAGTTACATATAGGTTGACTGTTTTCTTCAGTGTACTAAAAATACAGATATTATAATATACAAGTGACGATATTTCTGTAGTTTAGTTGGAATCAATATATTGGTGTACCATTTGAAACTCGTATACAAATCAATACTGTTTTACCAGTAATTATTTTCAAAACTGTTAACCCTAGTGTTACTAGTAAAATTATATCTAGCTAATTTAATTTTTATGGTAATTGTACATTTTCTTCTTGTTTTAAAAGGATATTTTATGATGTTATCTTCATAATTTTATGAGGTGTATAGTGTGTAAATACAGTTTCGTTCTTTAATCATCATCATAGTAGACATCATGATTGTGTTACTATCATTGACAGAAATTGGGAGGGGGCCTAAATATCTAAGTCCCAATAAAAATGAAAATGAAAAAATATAGGACTTTGCCCACTTAAAATTTTTTACTAAAACCAATTTTTTTAATATTTTATGATTTATTTTATTTATTTATAGCTCAAGTGAAGAGATAAGATTTTATTTTAATCTCTCATATTTTTTTGAAATTTGAAATATTTTCTGAATGGTTCTTGTAGAATATACTGTTAGCAAACAAAGTTGAAAAAAATTAAATATTTTTCAATTGATTAGTTTTAACCTAAAATTTAATTAAATATAATATGTATCTTAAAAATTTATTTTGTTTTAAAATATTATAATTGAAAAATAATAAATATTATTCATATTTAATATTAGGTGTAGTAAATTTTAAGAATCATTTTATAAATGCTGGTGGTTTACATCAACCTAAAAAGATTGAATGTATGTGTTCTGATGGAGAAAGTAGACCATTGCTATTAAAAGTATGTTCTCAACTAATAAATTTTAGTTAATAAAATTAATATTACTTTAAATATATTTATTATAAGTAATTATATTTATTCGTGTTTCAAATAATATTTAGGCCAATGAAGATATGCGACAAGATGCAGTTATGCAACAAGTATTTTTATTAATGAATAGACTTTTTAAATTAAATAAATCTACATCCCAAAGAAAACTTACTATAAGAACATACAAAGTAAAAAAACTAATTTTTAGATTCATAAGTTGTTTAAAATATACGAATATTATTATTTTATTATAATTCTATAGGTAGTGCCATTTTCTCAACAAAGTGGAATTGCTGAATGGTGCACAAATACAATGTCTCTTGGCGATTATTTGATCGGTAGAAACACTAAACCTGGTGCTCATCAATTATATAGACCAAATGATTTACCACCAGGAGATGCAAGAAGTATTATTAAAGTAATTGTCATCAGGTTGTTTTTATGATTAAAACTTTACATAACATTTTTCAATATACCTAGAATTATTTCTTTTTTATTATTAATTATTATTATTATATTTTTATTATTAATCTTTTAAAAATAAATTGTTATATACATAGACCACTCAATTACTTACAAAATAAAAACAATTTTTTTTTTTATTACATATTATTTTTTAATTAGCTATGTAATACTTTTTGAGTTCATCCTTTATGCCTTGTAAAAGTGTCAACTTTGCTTTTATTAATGGAAACACATATTTTAAATTTAATAAAATGTTAAAGTTTTTAATTTAATAGTAAATGGAATTAAAATTTTTAATTTTACAAAATTTATAAATACAGGTAGCTAATTTGTTTTTTGATGTCACTATCACAGTCATGGAGTTTTTATTGTCAATTATGACTATTAATAGATGGACTTTCTGTATTGCCAGTTGTATTTATAAACTCACAAGAATATGCCTTACTACCATTGATAATAAATGCTGTGTACCTGTGAATATCAACATCTTAAATAACAAAATTGGCTACTTATATTTGTAACCCCTCGTATATTATAGATGTATATTAACTCAAAAATTTGAAACTTTAAAATTTTATATCTAATAAATGAATAAACTTATATTAAAAATTCAAATGCCATTTACTATTAAATTAAAAACTCAAGTATTTTAATAAATTCAAAATATGTGTTCCCATTTATAAAACTAAGTTAACAACCTTACAAGACATAAGGGATGAATTAAAAATTATTACATAGATATAATAATTCAAGAAAAATAACTAAAGGTAACCAAAAAAAAAAAAAAAATGTTTAAATTATTTTTTCTTTGGAATTGAGTGGGTTATGATAAAACAATCACCTGTATAATTAACAAGTTTTATTATTAACTTTGAAATTTTAAGAATATTCAAGCTGCTAACTTGAACTAAATTCGATCTACAAATATTTGTTTAGAATCATTCTGGATTTTCAAATATAATTTATTCAACAATATTCCTTTTGAAATTTTCTATTATAATTTTTCTTTTTGTGAATTATACTAGATGTCAAAAGATAATAAAGATAGTAATTTTGCAAGAGAGAAAAAATATTTAGAAGTTTGTAAAAAATTAAAACCAGTATTCCGGTACTTTTTTTTTGAAAAATTTGTATCTCCTTCTATTTGGTTTGAAAGGCGGCAAGCATATATTCATAGGTATAAATAATTATTATTCAATTTATTAAATAAAATTTTATTTGATTATCACATTACATACAGTTTACTTCTTTTTAGTGTTGCTACTAGTTCTATGGTTGGTTATATTTTGGGTATAGGTGATCGTCATGTACAAAACATATTAATTGATAATGAAACCGCAGAACTTATACATATTGACTTTGGTAAGAATTTTAAATAATTATAAGATTTATTTATTTTTTATTCGAAACTATAAACATTATATTAAGTAGGTATTTAAGATTTTTATGGAAAGTAAACTGGTGTTATAATTTTATTGCCATTTTTTTCTTGATATTCTTCTTGTTGAAAGTAAAAATTAAATTTAGTGTAGTCATTTATTGTACTATTAAGTAGAACATTTGTCATTTGTGCTGATGTGATATTGAAAAATAGCGGGCTGCTATATGAATTGTTTTTTTTTGGAACTCTTACACGACGTTCAGTGGCAATTATTGTTTTGGTTGTTGCATTGTGATGACCGTAATATATGCTATATTTGTGGTTTTATACTTTTACTGAACTAAATTGTTGTAATACTTTTGTTTAGACAGTAGTTAAATACTATTTTTTCAACTCATTCCTTTCAACATTTCTAAAAATATTTTTAATAAGTAAAAATAATCGTCACATGAATTTAGGGGCTCTCGTTCCTTGAACCCTTGTAAAAATATGCTTCTGTTACATATTTAAAAATTGAATTTAAAAAATTCATAAATATAAAAAATTACTACAATTATCAGAAAATTTAACCGTGTTATAAATTTATTGCATTTCTAAATCTATTAATGATTATACATAGTTTATATAAAATTATGAATTAAGTTTTTCAAGAACATTTTGAAATATTTTATAGTTATTCACTATTTGAGTCATTCAATAACTATTTAATAGATAAGCTATGTTAAAAATAAACTATTAGATTTGCATAAAGAATATTTGAAAATGCATATTGCTATTAATTATCTTGTTGAATTAAAATAAATATTTTTTATTAATTCTTGTAAAAATTAAGTTTATTTGTAAAATTTCATCAAAAAAAAAAAATCTTTTAGGTATTGCATTTGATCAAGGTACACTGTTGACCACTCCAGAAACTGTCCCTTTTAGACTTTCTAGAGATATTGAAGATGGTATGGGTATTTGTGGGATTGAAGGAACGTTTCGAAAGTATAATATTTTATTTTGTATAAAATGTCAAATTCTATAAATTGTTATTTTTAAGATGCTGTGAAAAAACCATAGAAGTTTTAAGGCAAAATCAAGATGTTATTGTTACTGTTATCGAAGTGCTATTGTATGATCCATGTTATCATTGGACTCTAACAACAGAAAAAGCGGCAAAGTTACAAGATGATTCAATAATTTCTTATTTGAAACCTCGTAAGAATGTGTATTTCAATTACACTATAGAATAATTTATTTGAATTTTTTTTTTAGAAGTGGTAGAAATAAATAAATCAGCAGAGAGGTCTTTAAATAAAGTTCGAACTAAATTACTTGGCATGGAAGATACTGGTAGTAAAAGTAGTATTAGTGGGCAAGTTAATAGACTTATACAAGAAGCAAGAGATTATAAAAATTTATCACTTTTATTTCATGGATGGCAAGCTTATTTATAAATATAATTTTAAGTTTTAATAAAACAGTACTAATTATACGCACTATATTTAAAAATTTTACTTTATTGTATCTCATTCAAACTTATATGAACTATTGCTATATTATTATTAAACATAACTCAGATAGCATTTAATAAAAATAATCTTAAATAAATATAATGTTTGAAAGCCGTATTCATCATCAAATTCTTTTTAAACTTTATTCAACCACTAACATTAAATAAATGCTATATGGGTGGTATTGATAATTTTCTTTAAAACTCAAAAAAAAAAATATTTTCTATTATATTGATTTTGGTTTTTAATATATATATATTATTAACAAACTTATCTAATATTAAGAAAAATTTAGTGTACATATATTTTTGTATGGTTTTTTTTTTGGTAAGTACTACTAGGTAAATAGAAATAATTTTTGTACATATTAAAAAAAAACTGTTAATTATTAGTAGTAATCCCAGCTAATTTACAATTTTCAACTAAATTGTAATTTAAAAAATCGAATTCTACAATTACTAATAGTATAATTATAATAACGTTTATATTTTTATAACATGTACACTTAAATATTTTTTCCTGTTAATATCAAAAATAAAATTTTCAACAATAAAAAACAATATATTTTAATAAGAAATTAATAATAAATAATTTAATCAATCTCAATAAATATTAAATAGTAAAATTAATAATTATTTAAATAACATAGAAAAGTAAGAATTTAACCTCGTTAACAATATGAATGATGTTTAATATATATTATAAGAAAATAACTTTATACATTTTACCGGTATGGTGTAAAAAATGGGGCATTATTTTGAGTTTGTTGCGGTGGAGCCTGATCTATATCTTCATACGATTGGGGATTTGATGTTCCTCTACCTATTGATTTACAAACATTTGCGTGCAATTTTAAAATTTTAATTGTTATAAATTAAATTGTTTATTAATTATTTATACTTACTAATATAATTTTGCAAAGGAGGGGGAATTCCATCACTTGTACCATTACTACTATCTATACAAATACGACTGAGTAGTGATAATGTAACAAAACGAAATATAAAGTTTCCTAAAGCACAAATAACACTAAATATTTCAGAAAACCCTGAAATAGAAAAATATTGTTAATAAAAATATAATAAAGTTGTACTTTTAAAGTACTTACAAAAAGAACTTGGAAAAAAACAATATATAGTTATTATATCCAAACATGCAGCTGTTAAATTGACTGAAATTGCCTAGAGTAAGAAATTTACAAAATAATTATATATTGGGAAAATAAATTTTTAATAATTATACTAAAAATATACAAGCTAAACAGATTTCACTGACAACTCAACTTTTGATCTAATAATCATTTTACTTTAATTTTTTTAAACAATTTGTATGTATTCAAAATAGTTGTTTATTAGAACATTGTTATAAAAAATTTTGATAGGTCAATATTAAGACGAGTAATTATTGAGTTACAAACATTCTAATACAGAGAGCGAGTATATAATGCGGGTAGGTACAGCTTGTACTACTGTATATTTATAATTCATACTCCGCTATTTACATATCAACTCTATGCGTTGAAATACTTGTAATTCAATAATTATCTATTCTTAAATTGTTATAGATTCATTAATAAGTTTTGTAAGAAAAGTGTTAATACTGGTTATTTTTAAATCTAAAAAAAATTTAGAATTAATTTTCTTATTATAAAAAGAAATAAATATGATTTTAAAGTAATCTAAGATTTCAATTATTTTTAAAAATTTACAGCAAAATGTTAATTGTATCAAATCAATTAGATAAGGATTAGAAGTTATTAGTTAGATCCTTTCTATCATACATATTTGGGTAACAGCTATTTTACAAACATGACATTTGGCACTTTTTTTATTTCAATTTAAACAGAAATATTGTCTACAAAATTTCAGGCCAATTAAATAATATTAACACATGGAGACTTATGCTCAAAGTTTGAATATTTTAAAAATTACTCATTATTATTCATTTTTTGAATATTAAAAATTCTAAAACATATTAATGAACAAAAATTATAAAAATAAACTGTAAACAAAAATGTATTGTATCACTTTTCTCTAATAATAATATTTAATACTTCAAAACCAAAAATATTACAAAAATTCACTTGCACTAATTATTTGTGAAATTTTTCATTTAATTTATTAAATTCATTTTTTTTATTAGTGTTTTAATTTATTATTATGTGTATTCTATACTGATATAACTCCTTAACAATAACATTTTTTTTTAAATACTAGCTCAGTATTTAGACATACAGCTAGTACTGTACCAGTATGGACTAGTTATCAGGTAATGACATTTTACAGAAAATTCTACTTAGAAAGTAATGACATAATCCTAGTAAACTAAATTATAAATTTGATTAACTTAATAATGAACTCAAGTAAAAAAATTCCAAACTAAAAGACTGTTTGACTCTACATAGTTGAAAATTAGGTTCAATAGATAATGATAATATTTTATAGTATATTTAAGACTAAAATTCAGGCACACTAAACAATTTAAATACTGAACTAGAAACTGAATATATATAATATTCATAACAATAAATTCTAATATTGTCGATAAAAGTTGTAATAATAACAATACAATTTTTTTTTATATAGATAAGAAAAGCACAAAATTCTTAAAATTTGAAGAGTACCAAATTAATTTTCATAAATCTGAATGCTGTTTGCTTACAATGTATCCTTCAACATACTAGATAAATCAGTCATTAGATTCTTAAAGAACTAATATGGCTTATTTTTAGGATTGTATAGATTATAAAATCCTTTTAATGAAACACATTTTTAAATTTAAAAATTGTTTTATTGAAAAAAAGTTAACATGGGACTTATTAAAAACTGATAAATGTTTCAAAGAACCATAATTTTATTTGTTAATTATAATTGTTCATTTTATGTAATAAAATTTATATCAGCAGAACAATTGAAGGTTATAGGGAAAAATGGTAGTAATCCATTCGTGTAAATTTTTCAGGAGATCAAAAACAAAATTATATATTTCTATTCAAAAAAACAAAAATGAACACTTTAATACTAATAAAATGAAAATAAATTCAACATAGTTCAATAAATAAACTATATTACTTGATACTACTGTTAATGGGTTATTAAATTAAATAATAAAATAAAAAATGAAAAAAATTAACTATTATCGTTTTCCCCTGTACTCTTCAAGTATTATCGAGAATAAAAGTATTTAAAATAAGCTTATTGTATGTAGATTAATTATTTAACAGTACGAACTAGCTGTGCTGGTTTATCGGATTCTGTATTGTGTATTGCCCATAGCAAACTTCCCATAAATATAACATTGTAAAAGAGATAAGAGTCTGGACTCCAACGACCTTGTACGCTCCTGTAAAATAAGTGAAAATTATACTTACTGGCATTTATTAGAAAAATTTAAACGAACACTAACCAAGTAATAAGTATTAAATGTATAATAAAAACACTTTTGGGCGGTAAGGCCGGTACTTGATTTAAGTCCAATACCATTGCTCAAATATTACAATAATTATTGGTGTTATAAATTAAAATACTTTAAAAAATTACATTGAAGTTTTAAATCAGATTTTTAGAACCTCGTAAATAAAAACGATTTACTTTATTACGTCACTAGCAACTATTAGTTAATACAACATAATTCAGTTTCGATGTGTATTGTGTATCGATATAAGTTATATAATAACCATTTGTTATTGTGTGTAATAACAGAACTGGTTTAGTGTTTTCTGATAAGAATTTTATCCGTTGCGTATTTACTTCAAACTATTGACGAATATATATTATTTAAATGCCTGTTTTAAATTACATAATTTTAGATTAAACATCTAGATTATCCGAGACAGCATTAAAAAACATATAGAAAATAATGATAAATTAACATAACATTGATTTTACATTTTATAAACATTTTCTCGGGAATTCACCTGTGTAACTAAATAATTCAACTTATTAGTGAATTAAACATTAATCCACCAAAAATTACTCGATTGAAATCAAGAAATTGATTTAACAAATTTTCTCTGGCCAACAAAAATAATATTTTCAATATAATCAGTTATAATATGAAATTAGTATTTTTTTGGTAAATGTATATCGTCTAGTAGGTAAGAAAAACATTCAATCAGATTCATTGGATAACATTTGAGTTGCCTAGATTATTATTTAAAAAAAATAGTACTTGTTATTAATGATGTAACCGGGGTACATGCACGTAGAAGACTACGTACAATTTGCAGGTTTGGAGCCTTCAAAAACAATGTGATGCATCCGCGCGAAAGCAAATTACATTCTTCGGTAACCTATTTAATTTTAAAATATCAATTTATATTAAGTATTGTTATCGATACCTTTAACAATTATTCACTTAGACTATAAATAATTTGTTAAGTAGACTACATTACGAACTATGATAAATTTAGTGATGAGAATAATCGAATGATTCGATTATTTTGTTTTCAGTTATTTAAATAATCTAATGATTTCAATAACCGTGCATCAATGTCCCCCTATACAGAGTGGCCCACCACTCACTGACAATTTAAATAACTTTTGATCCAGTTAATATTTTTAGCTGATTTTTTTTTTTAAACATTAGTTAGACGTTAGGTCTATAGCTATATCTCAATAATTAAATTTTTTACATTTTATTAAAAATATTAATTATTTTTAAATTTTAAATAAAATGTAAAAAAAAAATCTAAGATAGCTATTTTGTAGAGTAGAATTTAAGAAAAATTTTAGTAAAAAAATATCTTATTAATATTCAGTAGTAAATATTCTGTAGCGTTTTGAAGTTTGTGAAAATTTGAATTTTCATGTACTATTTTACGGTATTAAACATTGAAATACGTATTGAGAAAAGGACAGAAGAAAACGCTATCTTTTCATGATTACTGTGTATACATATGATGATAGTGTGTATACATTACAAACTTGGCATAAATACCATGATAAGAAATTAGATAAGGCAATTATTACTTATCACTCTCATTCAAAAGTATATTGAAAAGATAGCGTTTTCTTCTGTCCTTTTCTCAATACGTATTTCAATGTTTAATACCGTAAAATAGTACATGAAAATTCAAATTTTCACAAACTTCAAAACGCTACAGAATATTTACTATTGAATATTAATAAGAAATTTTTTTACTAAAATTTTTCTTAAATTCTACTCTACAAAATAGCTATCTTAGATTTTTTTTTTACATTTTATTTAAAATTTAAAAATAATTAATATTTTTAATAAAATGTAAAAAAATTAATTATTGAGATATAGCTATAGACCTAACGTATAACTATTATTTAAAAAAAAAATCAACTAAAAATATTAACTGGATCAAAAGTTATTTAAGTTGTCAGTGAGTGGTGGGCCACCCTGTATTCAGCAATGATAGTACATAAAGATACGATTACATAACAATTTTAGTATCGTAAGCTCTCTAGAAAAATTAGAAAAGTTAGCAAATTGTTCGCCAATTTTAAAATTTCAATTGCAGAATATATATATATATATGTGTTGAACAAGATAAAATTAATTTTATTCCAATATAAAAATAAACAACATTTAAAAGTAACATAAAATTTAATTTAGTTCGATTAGCTCAAATAATTTATACTAATGATAGATGATAAAAACAAATTAAAAATTGTTTATATATAATACAAATTCAAATCACAAAATTGTTAAGATAAGTATACTTAAATCAATAATTGATATGGTTATCATTTAAATTGAAACAATTTTAAAAATTAGTTATCATTTATTTTCTTTGAATATAAATGATTATTTCAGTCTCAATCAATATTTAAGGAACTGTTGATTCCCAGATTCCAAAGGAAAAATAATATATATGTAACTCTAATTAGTCAGATTTATAAGTCATTTTATCTTCTTCACCGCTGTCAACTAAAGCTACTGTTTTATAAAAACTATTATTGTCATATTTTGAAAAATCTTCCATCATATATTGCTCAGATTGATCACTACTGCTTAATCCTTTAAGGCTCATTTGTAATAATTTACTATTCATCAAGTTAAGAGATGATATAGAAATATTTTTCAATGATTTCATTTGTTCTTTAAGACTTTCATCAATACCGGCTGATGCAGTTCTCCTTTCTAAATTAGGAACAGGTGCTGCTTGTGACTTTACATCAGGTAATGAAAAAACATTTTGAAATGCAGGGAATGTTAGCATTAACTAGAAAAAAAATGGTTTATTTTAAAAAAAGTTAAAAATTAAAAAAAAAATAATACTTACTTGATTTATATCTTGAGATGTTACACTACCTTTTTGAGATGGAGGTAATTTACAAACAAGTTTATTTCCACGTTTATGCTTTTTCTTAGAATGTTTAGAAAATCGACGTACTTTACGAGTCATTTCAAATGCTTTTACAGATATAGTAGAATCTAATGAATGACTTCGTGATTCTACAGATACTCTACACATACTATAGCTTATCTCAGAATCTGATTGTACAAAGGAGGATGATACTGAAAGCTGTTCTTCTCCAGTTAAAGCACCACGCCGTCGTATAAACTTAGGTAATGCAGCAGCCCAAGTAGAACTAATATTGTCTGTCAAATTGCTATTTAAACCAAACACCAAACCTAAATCATTTTTTTGTAACAAGTTTATAAAGCTTGGTTGTTACAACGTAAAAAGAATATTAACAATTTACCAAAAGGATCTTCTTTTGAAAAAGAAACAGTAAAATCATCACTATTCAATTGATGTCTTTTAGCAAATGCACTGGCAATTAATTTATGTTTATTGTACTTAGCTGAATTCCGATTCCTTTGTTCTTTTCCACGACACTTTTTTAACCTGAAATTGTAATTTGAAATATTGATTATATGTTAAATATATTATATATTTTATATTTGTTTTTTATACATACCAACGAACTATACATTCACGCCAGGAATTAATTATTTGCTGTGTCCAAACCCAGAATGACATTAGGACACCATTACCAAACAGTACTAGAATATAAAGTTGTTTTTTTGATACACTTGGCCTTGATTCAATTCGACAATTACTCACATCAGCATCAGGTAATATTCCCAGTTTACAACTTTAACAAAAAAAGATTTAATTTTTAAATGAATGGTTAGTGTATTAAAAATTTACTGAATTTACTTGATTATAATTAAATTTTGGAGAATTCTTACAATAGAAGAAAAGAAGTATTTTTATTAATGATAAAATTAAAAAAAAAATCATGTAATGATTAATGTAACATAATGTCATCATAAGTATATAATAAAGTGTTTTTTTGATCTTATATCATTTTAAAGATATATTTAAATTAATTATCTAACACACTACGGTAAAATATGATTTTTTCACATTTTTCAATTTAATAAAAAACAATTTAAAGAAAAAAATTATCCTTCAACAAGGTTATTAAATAGATAGACTGCAACTGTGTATTGTCTAAACCATGCATCACCAACAGGCCATCAAAATCTGGGCTCTAGATAGTAAAAATTGGCCTTACAAAAACAATTCTTAAAAGAAATTTTTATTTTTTATCTCAATTTTTGTCCATCTTGAAAAACTATACAATGGCAATGCTGAGTACTATAATATTACCACGTATAAGTTTAAATCCTACTACTTTTTAGGTGTATGATATTAATTTATTTAAAAATTTGTCAATATTTCATTGACCTATAAATTTAAAAAATAGGCTTTGACTATTATAAAATGTAATATTAATAATTTGAGTTACAATAGCTTACACAATATATTTCCTTAAGCTATCTTTCCATAGTTGATCATTACTATACTCATGTATATAATACATAAACATTGATGAAATAAATATGATAATGAGAATCATGAACATCACAACTTTAACAGCAGTTGATTGAATTTTTGACTTGGCTAGTTTAGAAATCACTTGAGTACTCTCGTTTTTTAAAGCTAATAGACCAAATAATACTCGAACTAAGTAAAATAATCCTATACCCACAGATAAAGCAATAGGTAAAAGAACAAATATAATTCTATATATTTTATTATTAATGCCGACAAAACAAGTGCCAGTTACACTGTCCCCATCAATTTCTCCTATCACCATGGCTACAACACAGAAAACTAGTGGTATAGACCAAGCTAGTAAATGAAAATAACCACCTTTTTTGTCTACTTTTTCTTGAATTTTACCTATAAAGAAAATAAATGCACTATAATATATTTTTTTTAATACTAAAAAAAAATATAACTATATTTTATTAAACTCACCAAAGGATTGAAATGTTGTGTGGAGTGAGTAGGTAAAAATTACGAACCATATGAAAGCAGCAATCAAAAAATAATATGAAAAAATAAAATTTATAACACAAGAAAGATCTTCATCACTATAAGAAAAAAAATTATTCATTAATTTATATAATTTTAATATTTAAAAAAACTTTTCAGTTATTATAATAATTTTATAATAAAATAATTTTATTATAAAATTTTAAACAAGTATATACTTCATTGAACTAACCTAGGTTCTGATGTTTTACGAGCTCCATTTTTTCTACATACAATATCATCTCTGGCCCCAGACCAAAACTGAGATAACCATCCAAAACAAATAAACAAGAAGCAAACATTTATGTAAAGAATTACTATATTTGGGTAACGATTGAGAGATTGCCACTCTATCATAAATGTTAACTGTAAATATTAACATAACAATAAATAGTTTATTTAAAGAAGGAAATTGATTGAATAAGAAAAAATAAGTAGCTAAAGAGTTTATATGAGATATAACATTTATATGCCTTTCCATCTTAAATAACTTTTTAGAGAATCATCTTAAGTAAATAAAATGTTTGGCACTATGAAAAAAACAATTTGAAGGTATAGTCTGTCTTTATTAGCAAAAATGCACATAAAATTATAATAGTAAAAAAAATTTGATTTCACCTCTAAGATAATCTATGAACTAAACAAAATGATTAAGTTACTTACTATAGCAAATATATTACAAAGACCAGCAATCGTTGCAGTCCATGCAATAAGGTTATGTATTTGTCTATGTTCATCCATGGAAAATAAAGGATCGTAACATTGGAGATCACAACCTTCAAAATTAGGATAATGATAAACTTCATGTCTATAAGTCTGTACAAGTGGTAACTCACAACGACCAGCGGTAGAGTTAAATTTTAACTCTCTTATATCATTCTGAAAAAGAACATAAATAAATAATTAATATGAACATTTAAAAAAATGATATCAACTTATTGATAGAATATATGAATTCATATAAAATATTTGATTGATTCAATAAAAATTATTATGGGCATACAATTTTTATAGTCTAAACGAAATAACAATTATCAAAAAAAAAAATGGAACAAAAAGATATTAAATGAATCAAAAGTTGTAAGAATATATGAGTTTATTACTAAACATGTAATTAATTTTTAAATTATTTCAATGTAAAATTATTAATATAATAGTGGATTAGAAAACAAAGTAGAAATTGTCAAAATTTTATACATAAATTAATTGTTTTGACAACTAAATTTCTCCTAAAAAATAATTTTGAACATTCTTTTTAGTTTATTAAGTATTTATTTATTATTGATTTAAAAATGGTTAATTATTTAATATGTTAATTTACTATCCCTTATAAGCAAGGTTCAAAACTTAAAACATGTAATTGTAAACACTCAAATAAGACTTAGAAAAAAAACCCAGCACAGGGGGGTCGCAGCACAGTGGTAACGTGGCATAGTTGGATCAAGTATAATGATATATGACAGTGATTAAAATCACTATAAAAAAAAATGCTTCAATGCAAATCTCTAGCTAGTGTTTAATTTTAAAAAATTGGTGGATTATTTCAAAAGCTACATGATCTGCTATTTTCTTATTAATATCCTGAATGAAAAAGGGATTATTAAAAAATATTATTTCTCATGAAAAAATTGTATTGATCCATACATTTTTTAAAAAGTTATAGCATTTTAAAGTAAAAAATGTAAAATATAAAATCGAAAAATTTCACACAAAAATAGCATTTGGTAGCCATTTTCACCGTGAAGATAAAATAAAGTCCCAGAGGTCAAGTTTTTTTTTTTCATAATAAAGTACATTACATTAGCTTTAATTTAAGATATATATAAAAGTGTCAGACCTTCCGGAACATTTTCAAAAGTTATGTTGAAAAAGTTGTCATTTTAAATCCCCCCTGTGGGCAGGTTAAGTGTCAGATTTACAAAAAATATACAACAAATGATAGGTAAAGACATCAAGCATCTATAAAAAAATAATAATATTGATATGTTCATTTTTAAAAAAATTACGGCAGTTTTAGTAAAAATTTTTTTCGAAAATTAGCGATTTTATTAATTTTATGTAATTTTTTTGGAGGTTTCCCCCATTTACGAGGGAAATTTTTTCAATTTTTGAGGGTAACGTCTTCGACCAGATACGATTTGTGATCTTTTGACGTATTGTTGAAAGAAATCCGTTCGATGAGAGCTGAGAAAAAGTGGTAACATACAAAAAAAAAAAAAAAAAAAAACACATCATAGTAAAACCAATACCTTCTCAGCCTCGCATCGAAGCTAAAATTGTTTATAGTACTTTAATATGCACTAAAAAGGTAAAAATGTGCCAACAAAAATAATTATAAAGGTGAAAAAAATGTCATGCATTTTATGACAAGTTTTGCAATATTACTTTAATACTTAGCTGAACTGAACTTTGGTTATTATAATTTAATAAATGATTTTTTTAAGACAAAATTTTTTTTATTAATTATAAAGGGCAACAGTCAGGTCTCAATTGTAGTATATAGTTTATATTTGATATCCAACAGTTTTCTATATTCATTTTGTGTTTGACTGTGCTCGAATGGACATTATAGGGATCTCTTTAGTATATTGTTTTATTCGATTATGTTTATGTAATGAGCTGTAATTCTATTAATTGTTTTTACATCATTAACAAAATAAAAAAACAATTCTTAAAATTCTTGTTATTTTAATAATAAAATCCTAGAGTAATGTAGTAGTATAAGATAATTCAATCACTCTGTATATTTCAACCTTGTCTTTTATTTATTAAAATAATAAAATTGAAAATCAGATAATACTTTCAAGTAAACTTTAGCAATTACATAATTTCAATTTTAAAAATTAATTTGTTTACCTTGCATAATCTAGGAGGATATAGAGTTTCATTATCACAATTAAATTCTGATGGCCAAGAGTTTTCAATTTTTAGTATTTGACAATGACTTTCAATTAATTTACACATCTCCTAAAAAAAAATTATATCAATAAACAAATCATTTGAAAATAATAACCACTATATTAAATACTTGTGGTGGCAAATGTATATTATTATTTTCACAATCAGGCATGTACAATGCACATAACAATGGTTGAATAGCTGCCCAACATTTGGGAACTTTTTTAAGACCTTGCCAATAATGTAATCTTTCCTGCAAGACATGATTAATAATTATAAATTAAGTTTTTTTAGATTCTACTTTTGAAATATTACTTGAACTTCATCTTGAGAATCAGCATCTGAAACAAGATCTGTAGAAGTTGAATTATAAGGCAATTTTACTCCAAGGCAGAGTGTGTAGTTTGTGATTAAACATTTAGACTGAGATTTTTCACAATATTGAAGTTTACTTTTAGATTTTAGCAAGCATAATGTTTGTGAAATGCAAAAAAGTATTAAGAATACAGTTTTTAAATTTAAATATATTGCCTGAAACAAAATTCATAGTACAATAATTTGTCAAATTTAAATTTCAATTATTATTGACAGCAATGATTACATAAACTACAAACTAAAATATTACAGAGATCATTAATTTTGAATGTGTAAAAAAAATAATTACTTTGAAAATATTCATAATATTTAAAAAAAAATTAAAAGCCACTTCCAAAAGAGTATTTTGCTGAAGTCCGATTTAAATTATATCCAATAAGAATAACAAATAGTGCCATGATCAGATCGTAATTTAAATTTGTTAAACGTTAATACTACATCTTTAATCTCTATACAAACCAAACGCTTAAATCTGAATCGACTATAACATTGAAGAGTATAATAACACAGAAATGTGCAATAAAGAAATTGTTTTGGTTGCAAAACGAATACTTACACTTCACGATACGAATGAGATCTGATCCATGGACCACGTGTGTGGTCTCAAAACGACAGAGCCGGTGGCCGGTTGCCGCCAAGGGTAACGTTTTTAACATATAGAGCGCTAAGATGGAATATCTCATGGTGGGGAGAGATTCCTGATACATTATAAACTACCATACGAACTAACTCTAATTTACGAAGTTTGACGACCATACACGACAAAAAAAAATCGTCACAATAATAATTATAATGGTTCACAATTTTATTAGTATACCAATTTAAGTATTTTGTTGTATTTATATTTGGAACAATCTTTCTGTTCTAACTTGTAGTTATAGTAGTTCAATAATAACGCAAAATGTAGTTAATAAAGATATAATCAATCGAAATAAAACATATAAAATATTGATACACTTAAAACCGGATAAATAAATAATACACAAAATAAAAACTTAATGTCACAAACGTATCACGCGGAAAGAGATTACCTTCGGTACTCCCTAGGTCTTCTCTTTCTCCTCTTTCAATTCATTCCATTTCGTCTTATATACTAACATATTTTGTTTTTCTTTTTATAAAATTCATATAGTAATCATTTTCAAAAATGTTTATAAATATTTACTTCCTGATCTAGTAACAATAATTCGGGGATTTACAATTAATCTAAACATTACAAAAGTGTTCTACTTCTAGGTTTACAAATAATAGACTATATTATATTGTCTATACTATACTATATTATAATAATATGTATATTTTTGTAATAATAGATCAAGAAATTCATAGTTAAACCAAACATTACAAAAATGCTTTGTTTTCAGTTTTACAAAATAATGACCTATATTACAGTGTTAATCTAAATGATTTCTAGTTTTTATTAAGAATAAAACAATAACTTCCGCTTGTATTTTAAAATCTTGATAAAGTAAGCAAAATTAATCTGTTAGCCGGATACTCCTTAATTCGCCTAATATTCGTCGATATTTATCAAGTAATGGCAGTGACAGTCAAATCAAGGAGGATTAGGAGAATACACCCTTCTCCCCATTTGATATTCCACTTTAGACTAACATTTTTACTATGTATATTTCATATTTTGGAAACTATATATGGTAAATTATTAACTGTAATTTATATGAAAAATTATTAATCCTACAAATTTGGAAAATTAAATTTGAAGTATTGATTATTGTTTATTCGTAGGTAAATTCAACGGGATACCATTTTAAAATCAATTAAATATTTGAAATTAACTTAATAAGAAGAAAGCCACGCCTAATAGCCATAATATCTTAGTTTAGTATTATAAATTATAAAGCTCTGGGGTATGGAAAAACAACTCGCATTATGATTTTTATTAAAAAAGCTTTTTCATCCCCTCCCATAACAAATCATTTGACCGCCACTGAATATTAGGAACGGTTTACTTGGGGAATATTCGGTATTCACTTTTTATCTCCTTTAACAATGGTTAGCGGTTTTTGTGACACGAGTCAAAGGGATAAATGTTTTTTAAATACGTATACAAGTCTTGGAAAGGGAATATTCATCTATTTGCTCAAGTAGACGAATAATCAGTATTCGTTTTACATGGTCGAATCGATTTGTAGTGGCAACTAACATAGTCGTATTTATGAAGAGGTCAAGGAACGCGATTCACTCTTTTACTAAATTCAAGTGATGCAATTTTTATTCGCTCATAATCGTACCTACAATAGTTAACAACTAATCAAAAATAAATTTTGTGCTATGGTTTCTTCCTCGAAAAAAATACTAAAAACCGCACGGAAATGTAATGAGTAAAAGGCAAATTAAAACTAAATTAAAATTAGTTAATTACGATAAATTCGTAATTTTCGACTGTTTTTCTTATTCATGCTCACTTTAAAACCTCTCGATAATCTATCATACGCTTTCATCAAATCTATAAATACTGTACACAGATTTTTCTTCTCTTCTCTATACTTTTATATTAGTTTCTCACATATCTAAACTATTTGAAACTTTTGTTATTAATTCTATCCATCCTATCCTCAAAAATATCCTATGTGATGAACAACATGGATTTCGTCCAGGTCGTTCAACAATCACTTGTAAACTTATTCTCTCATCCTACATATATCATTCCTTCAGTCAGAAAAGTCAAGTAGATGTCATTTACATGGACTTCTCGAAGGCATTCGATAAAGTAGATCACAGTATTCTAATTAAAACTCTGGATAATCTAGGTATTGGTAATCCTCTACTGTCTTGGGTTCACTCTTATTTATCTAATCGTCAATATTTTGTTTCAACTTCCCATTCGACCTCTGATACCTTTTATACATCTTCTGGAGTACCCCAAGGTGCAATTCTTTCTCTTCTTCTGTTTGCTCTTTTCATTAATTCCGCACCATCTGTCCTCCGTTATTTTAGATTACTTATATTTGCTGACGACATGAAACTTTTCCTCCGTATCAATTCCTTATCTGACTGCCACTTACTACAAGAAGATCTATTGCGGTTTACTAACTGGAGTGAATCTCTTGGCCTCTCTCTCAATATTAATAAATGCTCAATCATGTCATTCTTCCGACGTAATTCTCACATTGTGTTTCCTTATTCTATTAATAACATTCCTTTAATTCGTTCCTCTGAGTCAATACGTAATCTTAGGTTTATTCTCACTCACAATCTTTCTCCAAAAAAACACATCCAACATATTTCCTGTAAAGCCCTCAAACTCCTTGGTTTCATCTCCCGTATTACTCAAGAATTTAAATTATCCAACCCTCTTAAAGCTCTCTACACCTCCCTTGTTCGCCCCATTCTAGAATACGGCTCTGTTCTTTGGGATCCCCAAACGGCTTGCGCAAGCGAATCACTAGAAAGGGTCCAAAGAAAATGTTTAAACCTGGCAGCATACCGCCTCAATATCCCTCATACTCCTCATGATTACTCCCCTGTCCTATTTACCCTACATCTCTCCAGTCTTCCCGATCGACGCCTCAATTCAAACCTCTCCTTCCTAAAGAACCTCCTATCCAACAAAATAGACTTTAGCCAACTTCTTAGCCTTCTAAGATTTAAAATCCCTCTTCGCACCACCCGTTTTAACACTGCATTCCTTATCCCCCTACCCCTTCATATTTCCTTGACTCCGCCCCAATGATTCGCCTTATGCGGTTAGCTAATAATGATCCAGCTTTCGATTTATTTTAATTAAGCCTCGTATATGTTGTTTTAATTTATATTTTGTATCCATGTATATAAATTTTCTTTTGTTACTTTTCTCACTAAAATTTATTAATGATGTTTATGATGACTATTATATATATTTTGGGTTTTGCCTGTATAAAATCATATAAATAAAATAAATAAATATAAGTTACAACACTGATTATATACTCTCGATGTTATTGTAATGAACATAGACTATAGTCTTTACTTTTCAATTGATAATAGTGATGGCAACCTGTTATTAATTTTGATAACTGTTACAATCTGTTATTGTTACTTTCGAAATAACAGTTACTGTTATTTTCTTAGAAAATGTTATAAAATTGTTTTTAACAGTGATATAACTGTTATATTTGTAAAAAGTATTGTAGGCAACTTGTTATCAATTTTGGTAACTGTTACAAACTGTTATTTGTTACTTTCCAAATAACAGTGATGTAATTGTTTTATGTTAAAAGACTGGTAAAATAAATATTTAGTCTATAAATAACTAACATTATCATCTATTAGATGACATCTAATAGGCAAAACCTATTATGTATGTTCTTCAGATACGAAAAACACTACGATTCATTAACTTTTATAATATTAAATATTGTATGCAGTTTTTTTTTCTAAATAATTTTTCAGCCAAAATATTCTATGAATGGTTTAAATCACTCATTATATAGAATGATTTATTAAATCTACTGCCCTCCCTTTTACTCTAAAATTTAAAAAAAATTGGAAACAAGTTTTGTCTGTGGATAAAAAAAATCAATCGAGCAGTTTTTGATTTAATATAATTTTTAGCAATAGATGATGAGCTAGGTTCGCAAAGTGAATAAATTGTCATCTATGCATCGTGGTAAAAATAAAGTGCCGCTCTAAACACTACTCCTCTCCGCATATTTTTTGAATTGTAATATCTCAAAAACCGCTCGTTTGATTTTTTTTATCTTAAGACAAAACTTATTTAAAAATAAAAAAAGATCATGAATATCTAAGAGAACAGTTGTTTTTATCCTTACAGTACACCTATTAAGGATAATAAAGTTCACAAGTACATAAAAATATAGATTTTATATTTATACAGATGATAAAAAAAATTCCAATTTTTTTTGAAACTGTAGGATAAAAGGGGAGGTAGAAAAATGCATAAATAACACTGTATATGAAAATTAAAAATTGCAATTTTGAAATTTTTATAACTCATAAACTGTATACAAGGCTAGTAGCAATTAAAACTTTCAAAAATATGCAAATACGCAAAAATTTTCAATATAATTTAATAAAAACCTAAACTGTATATATCTAGGTTAAAATTTTGTTGTGTGGTATGAAAACAAAAATTATGACAGTAAATATGATAACTGATTGAATTTATTTACTAAAAAATTATTATTATACTATATTCTGATAAAGTACAAACAAAGCAACAATATTTTTAATTTTCTAGCATTATAAGAAAAAAAATTTAATTAATTTTATAAAAATGGAAAACCGTTACAGCAATGTTTGGTCACATTTTACTATTGTAGATGAAAAATTTGCAAAATGTGGTATATGTAAGAAAAAATATTCATATAAGTCAACTCTAACTAACTTAAAAAAACATTTATGTACTAAACATTTGATAACCTGTAGCTCAACTCAGCAAATAAATAACCAAATTGTACATAATAAAGTAAGTTTAATTAATATGCAATTTTGATTTTTAAATTTGAGGCGAAAATAGTATACATAATTGTAGTTTCTATTATATTTAAAAGGAATTGTATAATGGAAATATTGATGAACCGGATGACTCTGCTACACTGCCTTCTACATCTCAAACTCAAATTGCTTCTTCATCTTCCACTATTTTTCATTCAAATTCGTCAGTAGTTAGAGGTCAATTAGAGATTATTGAAAATAGTGTAGTTCAAATACCAAATAAACGCAAACAAACAAGTATGTTTAGTTTTATACCTAAAAAAATGACAAATAATTGTAAAAAGCAAATTGATGGTGCACTACTTAAGTTATTTACAAAAGATTATCAACCCTTTAAAGTAGTCGAAGATGAAGGATTTAAAGAGTTTGTAAAACTGTTGAACCCAAACTATACTCTTCCTGACCGCCATTCGATATCTAAAGTACATGTACCAGCATTATACGAAAAATGTTTATTTGAAATGAAAGATCTAGTTGCAAAAGAAGCTGAAAGTGTATGCATGACAACTGATTGTTGGACTTCTCGCAACAATGAAAGTTTTATGGCCATAACTATTCATTTTATTGATTCAAAATTTGAATTGAAATCGGTTCTCCTTGGGTGTTTTGAATTTAATATAAGTCATACAGGGATTAATTTAAGTGACACAATACAGAAAATACTTAAAGAATGGGATCTGGAAAACAAAGTAGTATTTGCAGTCTCTGATAATGCAAATAATATAAAAAATGCATTATCTTTATTAAAATTTAAATCTATGGGATGTTTTGCACATACAATGAATCTTGTTGTACAATCTGCTCTAACTTTTGAAAGTGATTTAATTGAACATGTTAAAGCAATTGTTACATATTTTAGAAAAAGTACAGTAGCCAACAACAAATTAAACATGTATCAAATTAATAATAGTGTAAGTCAACCAAAAAAATTAATTCAAGATGTTCAGACACGATGGAACTCAACATATTACATGTTAGTTAGATTTGTAGAATTAAAAGATTCTATTCGTGGCACATTAGGGTTACTTGATAGGGCACCAGAAAATCTTAAATGTGATGAGTGGACTATTCTAGAAGAATTATGCAATGTACTTAGACCTTTTGAAGAAGCTACAAAAGCAGTAAGCGGAGAAAAATATATGTCTGCATCACTTGTTATTGTATTGTCTCAAGGTTTACTGAAAGTATGTGATACAATGTCAAAAATGAAATATAGTCCTAGAGTTCTGGAAATTATAAATAAACTTAGGTATGCCATGCTTGAAAAAGATTCATGGAAAAATATTGAAAAAAGTAAAACGCTGTGTCGTTGCACATTTCTTGATCCTCGTTTTAAAAACATTCCTTTTTTGCATGATTCTTTAATTCTTAGCAATTTAAAAACTGATATTATTGAAAATGTATCCCGAATTTGTAGTACTGCAAATGAAAAACAAATAGATGAATTAAGTGAACAAAATTGTTCAACTCAAAATTCACTTACTATACAATCATCCAAAACAATATCAATTTGGGATGATATTGATCGTAGTGTAGCGGAAGTAGTGCCAACTGGAACATCGACATCTCGAGCAATCATTGAAGTTCAACGTTATTTAGAAGATTCTATACTACAAAGAAATAACGACCCATTAAAATGGTGGAGTGAGCATAGTTATAACTACCCATACCTCAAGTCATTGGCAAAAAACACATTGTGTTGTCTTGGTACATCTGTACCATGTAAAAGAATTTTTTCAAAAGCTGGGCTAATCCTAAATGACCGTCGCTGTCGATTAAAAAATGAAAAAGTTAAAATGCTGCTATTCTTAAATTATAATTCTGATTGATTTCAATTAACCTATAATAATATTTATATATTTTAAATTTATGATTCGTACAAGTTATAACCATTCTTATTTTAAGTAACATCAAGTTACATGTTGTTTTTTTTACTATTTTATTTTACAGCTAGTATGAAGTTAATTAACTATGGTAGATTCAGTTTTATGTTTTTTATTTTACTTTATGTTATGACTTATATATTATAAGTATTGTTTTTATACTTCTTATCAACTATAAATTTATAAATAATTGTTAATATACAATCGTCAAACTTCGATCATATCTTACTAAAAACAAATATTACTAACTAAAAAAACTTAAGCATTACCATTCTATAACAAGTTAAATAATAAACACTAATAGTAACAATAACAATAAACAATAATAAAATAACTATTTTAAATAAAATAAGAATTTAACTATTAAGAGAGGAGCAACAGGTAATTATTTTATCATAAAAAACAAAAAAAATAATTGTGATAACGTAATAATATTACTGTAAAACCAAGGTAGATTCATGAAATGTCAGAAATTAGCGCTCCTAGTGTTGTAAATTTCAAATATGAGACTAAATACTATGCGTGAAATATTGATGACCTTGCGTTATACAAAATAACAGTAACTGTTACTATTTCTTCCAAGTAACAGCTTGTTATTGCTACTCAAGCAGTAACTGTTATAAATCACTGTTACTGTTATTTTTTCCCATCACTAATTGATAACACTAGACAAAATCAATATTAAAATATAAAATCTCATGTCTCCCCCAAACTGAGCCAAATTTCCGGTACATACAGAAGTGTCTACCAATAAAATATTATAATATACAATAATTCTACTAAGCCTATAGTGGTTATCACGACAATATATTCAACATGAGTGGAAGAATTTATTACCTATTAAAGATTTATTGTTTTATCTATACATTTTTTTACTTACAAGTTGTATTTACTTTTACCTTACGGTAACCATGGATCATATGTATAATAACTAAAAATAAAGTGATGACAGTATTAATAAAGAAGAATGATAACGGCATTATCTGCAAAGACATAATAAATACAAGTACTTTGTTTCTAATTATTACTTGATTAGTGTAGTTAGTGTGTTAAAACTACTCTTACCTGATATTCCTTGACAGCAGAGCACGGTCCACAGTGTACAGAGGAGATATGAATAGTATAGGTATATTAGATATTAAATAAGAAAAATAAATTGTTACTTAAGCGTATATTATAAATGAATAAATAGTTATATTGACAAGTGTGTATCTTAAATTAAATCATAGACTTATATTAATAATGAGACACCACCAAATCACAATATAAGGGTTAAAGAATAACTTCTTTTTCTTCTTCCAACTACTTGGAGTCGGCCACCCATATCCTAAACTTCCACTTGACATGATCTCTCACATCATCTACGCTCACATCAGCTGTCTTCATATCTCATTTAATAGCACCCCTTCATCTCTTTTTTAGTCTTTCTCTACCTCTTCTAGGTAAAAAAACTGTTAAAGAATAACATAAAGAAAAACTGCCAAGTAAAATAAAATAGTGAAGTTAAGCACTAATGTGTAGTAGCGAGAGGAGAAAAAAAAAGAGTGAGTCTTTGACGGAAGTTAAAAGACAGATCAGGTTTTATAGGACTCTTAGGTCTGTTATATTGAGTCATAGTTATATAACTCTATGTAACAATATAAGTTATTTAATTAAAAGAAAAATGTCTTTTACAATGCGGTGTAGGGAGTGATTAGAACTACATTATTGTTTGTTTAGGATATGTAAACAAATAATGACAAGTAATATGTTGTATATTTCTAATCTTTATGTGAAATTGTATGAACTCATTTATAAACAAAAATTAAATGATTACATGTCTCAACGTCGTCAGTACATCCTCGCAAGGCGCAGCTGAAATGTATTGGTTTTATTAAGTAATAGAAGAGAATATTACACATGATTATGTTACATTAACTTTTCGACATTTAAGTTAATATTATACTGAGAAAACTAGATAAAAATTGAATATATATTTATAAGTTCTTTGTAAACTTTTAGATAAAAATGTAAAAAAAAACCGTGTTAGAAGATTAGGTCAGCAAACTCAACATAGTTTTGATATTTCCGCTTATAAGTCTAAAACATTTCAGATAATGTCCACAAAAGCGCTGTTTTTAGAGGAATTTGACTTCTCAAGACACATTTTGTATACTTTTGTACATGGTTACATAACTATGCTAACAGATCTTTTGCAGATATCTGAAATGTTTACGACTAAATAAGCGAAAGTTAGTGGGGACGTTAATAGGAGTTTGTTAACCTTATCTCACAACACCTAGTTGCTTATAATTATTTTTACGTATTTAGGTAGTTGTAAATTATTGAATGTATATTTACTTATTAATATTTTTGAATAATATGATTACAATGAATTCATTAATAAGATCATCATGCAGATTTAAATCCGCATTAGCTGCAAATATATTGACAACAAACATATTTGATAGTTCTTACAGAATAACTTTGTGTGAAGCTAAGACTAGGTAAATCATGATAATTTCTTTTTTATTACTAATATCATAGAATTTAGTATAACATAAGAAATAACAATTTGACTAAAAAATGTATTGTACAGGAATACATTATCTAGTACTATGCTACAATTGTTAATAGAAGAAATTGAAAATGCAAAAGAAAACCAACTTATAAAAAGTGTTGTAATAAACAGCAGTGGATCTATATTTTCTGCTGGTCATAATCTCAAAGAACTTGTAATACCATTAAAATTTTTTTACAAATGGTGCAGTCATTCTAATCTGAAAGTAAAATTTACCAAAAGCCATTTTTATTATAGAATACTATAAATTTTATTTTGAAGATAAATTTGTTATTTGGTCAAAAACACATGATATAGTATGCATGTTTAACAAGGTGACACTTATTTAGAAGTCATACAAAACTATTCAGATTAATGCGACTGCACTATAACTATGTAAAATAATCTATTGAATAATAATTATTTTAAAAAATAAACCTTGTAACCAACTTTCTTTATAAATTTTTATATTTTCAGACAGAATTTTCAAATCAAAAAAAAGTTTTTTCATTAGCAACCAAACTAATGAATGTGATACTACATTGTCCAATACCAATAATTACTGCAGTAGATGGATTAGCTGCAGCAGCCGGTTGCCAATTAGTAGCAGCTTCTGATATAGCAATATGCACTGAACGAAGTCATTTTTCAACACCAGGGTTTGCTTGACAACTGAGTTTTATTTTTTGATCAGTATGTTACTTGAATTTTTGATTTTAGAGTAAATATTGGATTATTTTGTTCTACTCCTGGAATATCACTAAGTAGATGTGTACCTAAAAAAATTTCTTCTTATATGTTATTCACCGGAGAATCAATTAATGCAAGAGAAGCTTTTAATGCTGGTCTTGTCAGCAAAGTTGTGCATCCTAATGACTTTGGTAATTGTATTAAATTTATCATAAATTTTGATTATCTATTTTAGGTAAAGAAAAATTTAAAGATTTTATAATGTGTGTGGCCCAAAGTTACAAAAATTTACTTGAATCTTACCATATTGTAAGACTTGTTTATGACTAATTAGTAATATTAATACACTTTTACAATATTTATTAAGCTATAAGCTTAATTCTCAAACTATTTAAAAAGAGGAGTAGGAGGTTTACCTAGAAACTATTTGGTGCCAGATTTTAGATATGTAAATACCCAAACAATAGTTGTACAAACATAGTTCTATGAAATAATAACTATGTATCTTAATAAATATTATAAATAACATTCTATTAATTTAAGCTAGTATTGAGGTCAGTTTTTGTTATTCAGATGAGGAAATTAATAAATTGACGACATTAATTGGTGAAAAAAGTAGAGCAGTAATTATTCATGGAAAAAAATTTTTCAACAAACAAATTAATGAAAATGTGGAAACTGCTTTCAGGTATTTGTTTTATTTATTCAGTGTTTGTGTATTTTAATATTGTAATTAAAGAGATATGAAAAATAAAAGTGTTTTTTAAAATAATTTCAAAATAATTTTTTGTAATTCACTTTTAATAAAAATTAAATAGGCTACAATTTACTAAATTAAATGAGAATAAATAATGTGATGTAGAATTATTTTGGATGGTTGAACAATTTTGTTTACCACTTATGCTCTTCTTTAATAATTTCACATAAGATTTTTCAGTATTTTTTTGTTTTAAATATGCTGTTACTAATATTATTAAACATTTTTTCAAATTTATTAAATTGTATATTTATAAAAATATTTTTTTATAAAATAAAATCAATTATCAAAACAAATTTGTTTCACTTATATCTTATCAACTATGTAGTGATTTAAAAACAGTTTTCTTACTAATGTTTAAATTCTCAAGTTAAAACTAATGTTTAAATGTAACATAAGATAAAAACACAAGTAAATAAGTATTTTTATTGATAAATTATGTTAAACAGAATGGGTGAAAAAGCCATGATGGATAATTTACAAATAGATGACTGTAAAGAAGGTCTTCAATCATTTATCCAAAAACGAAAACCACATTGGTCCAGCTAATTTAAAATAATTTTTATTGAGAACTTCACAATTTTTTTTTTTTATTGTATATCAATTTGTTTTTTTTTTAATAGCATACCATTTTGACAGTATGTAAATATATATATTTGTATATTAGTTTTTATTTGACAGTTATTTTAATTTTTATATTCACATAACTTATTGAATTACAAAATTGAATTTTAAAAATAATTTACTTTTGTTTACATTATTTTATTTTACCTTGTCATTTTTTTAATAAATAAGTTTTCCAGTTTTATACAAATTTTTAAATTGTACATAATGGTGCAAATTAGGAAAAGTAAATGAATAGTGCTTTTTACATTTAACAAATTTTTGAAAATAATTTTTATTTAACATCAAGTGATAGGAAATATTGTATAGATTATAAAAACAAAAAATATATACAATTATTTAATAAGAAAATAACCTCATAGGCTAAATATTCAGTTAATAATTCTATTTCTTGTGTTATTTAATGATATATAGATAAAACTACTCTTGAATTTTTAAAACTTTTATAAAACCTAAATTTCTAAGATATGAAATTGATATGGTCTTAGCAACAACAAAGTTGAATTAAAATCTTTTTTGTAGCTTTCACTTATAATTTTGAAAAAAAAAAAATTTAATTAGAATTAATCAGAGACTGAAAAAGTTTGTATTAGTTTTATGTACTAGATTTCATATGTTCACGATTAAGATAAATGAAGGCTATAAGTGATGTACCCAATATTTTTTTGTTATAAGTAAGCGAATTATTGAGATCTTTGAAATTTAGAATGCTAATTCTAAGTCAATAAAATAAAGATAATTGTATTTAAAAGATTTGTAATGAATTCAATTAGATATTGATGATAAGTTTTTTAACATAATGATCTAAAAGAAATAAAATATATCATCATTATAAAATTATAGAAACCCAACTCAGTAAAATGGAGTCGCAGCTAAGTTGAGACGTAGAAGTATTGATGATAGAGATATTGATTGACATCACTATCATAAAAAATATTTCAATGCAAATAAGGTAAGAAAATTAATGTACTTATTAGACATAAAAATGAATTTAAGTGTGAATGGGTCTTTTTTATACATTGAATGTGAACATGAAAGAGTTCAATTTTTTAGTGAACGTTCAATGTATTTTCTATATAACTATCATAATAGGCTTATTTAATATTAATAAAAGTGTAATTATTGTGCAACACAGAAATATACAAAAAATGAAGTATAAATATAAAAATCTGCACATTACGAAAAGCTAACATTTTTAATCGAAATTATTCTAGCCAAGTAATTATATAAATGCATTTGAATAAAAATATGGGCTTTAGATAAAATGAATTACCAGGATTCTTTTTTCAGAACGGTTATTTACTCAAGTTAGCGTTTGATGCTATTGATGTTTACTGTTTTAGCCGCGTTAAAATAGTATTTAACTAAAAGCACTAATATAGAGAAGATGTACTCTTTTTAATTATTTTGAAATTATTTGTGAAAAAAAATTAATTAGGATATAATTAAAAAAATGATGTATATATATATATATATATATAATATACAACTGATTGATATTTTTCCGTGGTTAGTTTTCATTTTTTTTTCAAAATATTTTTGTATTTAAGTTGATAAGATTAATTTATTTTTAAATAAAATTTTGAGAATTTATTAAAGATAAACGTCCAAAAGAGCAAAAGACAGTACTAATAACTATAATACAAAATAAAAAAATAAATACACTAAATTAACAAATTTAAGTTTAAATTCTCAAATTAATAATAACACAACATATAATACATTAATTATAAATACAAATATTGTGTAACATAAGTAATTAATCATTTTTTTAATTTAGAATTTGTAACCTGATTAGTTTATCATGAAAAAAAATCAAAATTACCTAATGAATTATCTGAATTTAACATTCTGTTAATCGGTGTAAAGAAACTAGTTTGTGGGCATAATGAGGTATAAAATGTAAGAGGTACCCGTGTATTGACCTAAGGAACATTAAAGGGCATTTTCTCCAGTAATTCAGGATAATCAATTTCATGATTGATTGATTTATACAATCAAAGTAAATCATTGTAATTTCTACGCATTTGAAGAGAATCTATATAATACTCACAAGCTAACTTATCAAGGGGTAAATTTAATTTATTGGTTTTAAACGCCAAGAAACCCAAAAATTGGTTTTGAATACGTTCTATTTTTAAAATTAAACTACTTAGGTGAGGATTCCACATAATAGAACCATACTCAAGAATAGAGTGAATCATTGAAAAATATAGAACTTTGAAACAATTTACATTACTGAAATCGGAACAATTACGTCCAATAAAATCAATCATACGTGAAGCTTTATTACACATATTAATAATTGAAATTATATTTATTTAAACTGTTTTCAATAGATTTAAATTATTGTTTTGTAAATGGTAATCTATTATACAAAATTAATTTCTTTTCATTACTATAATGTTAAAATAAGACTATTTACTACTCGAACTTTAGCTACATACACACGCCGCTTTAACAGTGATAACACTCAGTGCACCAATCTGATTAGATACCGTGATTGTGACTATGACTTTTAACTAATAATTCTAATCTTAGGAGAAGTAAATTAAATTGAGTAGTAAATAGTATCCTATCACTGATCTATAAAGGATTTAAAACAAAGTATAAAACTACGTATATTTCAGTTCTAATAGCTTTTATAAATCTGATTTAATTCTTGGAACAATAATATTATTAGTTTTATTTCGGTGATACATTAATCTTATTGCAGTGATATTTTAATTATTTATTACATTTTGAGAAAAGATGTTAACTCTAACTAGGTTAAAAATTCTTATAAAAAATAATGTATTTAATGATTGTATTAGAGCAATAACTTGTAAGCCCAATATTCTAAAAAATATTAGTAAAGTCAATAATGAAAATAGTACAATTTATAATCCAATTTTCAAGTGAGTTGATCTGCTTTATATATAGGTCAGTTAGTTTTGTTAATTAAATTAAATTTTTTTTTTATATTGACTAATTTCAGATCAGCATATATGCCTACTTTTATTTGTTTAAACAAATTAAAAAAGATGTCAGCAATATCAAACTGTGTAGTTATTTCTGTATCATTTGGATTCAAAATATTTGATCTTTTAAATTATTCAGAAGTTATGTATATTTCAATGATAGGTACTTTTTTATTTTTAATTGTGCTATCTATAAAACAAAAACATTAGGTATAGTGGCAACACCTAGATTGACCAATCATTTTATGTAGCATTACCACAATTATCACCGAGTCATATAAGGCATTATCCCAGAACAGACACCTTTTTGCTTGGATTTAAAGTCTTCTTTTGTTTCAAATATTTAATACAATCACAAGATGAATAGAGCTTAATTATTTTGTATTCTTAATCAATTGATAAATTATTATCAATGGCATTAATAGAAAATATCTGAAGAGTTTTAATAAGAAGTTAAAAAAAAAATAAAATTCAATTTTTTGGTACATAGCATGCTATTGATTTCAAGTTCTCATTGCATCATCCTCATACTAAATTGTCCAGGAAAAGAATATAAGTAAGATAACCACCTTATAATACATTCCTGAATGTATAATCTAAATATTGAAATAATAAAAAAAAGTTATTCAATATATAAAATCAATTAACTAAATTATTTTGATAAAATTTATGAAATTAAATTAAATAAAAAAATATCTTATAATCAATTTGATTGATTGTAATATAATAAAGTTTATAAATTTTGAAATATTTTAATTTTCATAAAACATAAAAACTGATTTCTCTGAAAACTATAAAAAAACACTTAGTTAATTTTGAAGAAAGGGTGACAATATATATAGATTTTTGTTGAAAATAAGCTTAAAATGTATAATTATTTAATTCAACATTTTCAAGATGCCATTTCCATAAAAAGTCTTAAAAAATGCTATTGTAGTTAACTTTATAATCTATATTTATATCATGTATAAATATTAAAATAAATTTTATAAATTTTGTAGGTATTGGTTTGACTACTGGTTTGTTAACTTCCTGTTGGCTGTTATCTGATCGTTTAGTAATTTATGCATATATATCTGATGATGAATTAAAATGTAGAATGTCTTATATATCTTTTTGGGGAAATCGTAATGAACTGTATTGTAATATTGATGACATAAAACCTATTAAAAACTCAAAACTTGATTTTTTTAATCATAAAATTAAATTTGTAAATAATAATAACTCATTTAAAATTATTTTACAAGATTCTACTATAATAAATAATGCAAAATTTAGAAAAATATTTGGTGATCAAATTATGTAATTTATATTTAAAATTTATAATAAAAGTCTTTTATGAATTTATAAATTTATAAATGTTTTCATAAAAACAATATTTTTTTTGCTACATTTTTGTTAATCATTAAATATAACTTTCATACAATGTGATTCTTTTAATACTAGCCATTCAATTTCTCTTAAAGAAATAATTAAAAAATGTTAAGAAAATTATTTTTTGATGTCATATACAGGTTAATCAACCACAATTTGACATTTTTTATAACTTGATCAAGCAAATATATTGTGTTACTTTTCTTTTTGAATAATTTTTACACTTTTAAACTATGTTAGATGCATTTTATTGTTTTTCAGTAATATAAAAAAATATTTTTTTTTATATAAAAATTTTGCTTCTTATTAAAAAAATTTAATGAGTCTTTAAGGACATTAGAATAAATATTGAGTTACAAGAGTATTTTATTGGTAATTCTATTAAGAACAAAAAATTATAGTTGTTATATAATAAATACATTTAGATACATTGAACGTTCTCTAAAAGATCAAACTTGTTTACGTTCACATTCAATGTGTTAAAAAGGGACTTGTTTAAACTTAAATACATTTTTATATCAAATAAACACGTTAATTTTCTTATTATTGTTTTTTATTGTTTTTTTATGTTTGTTCATGAATATTCTCAGCTCTCACTGGACCAATTTAAATGATCAATAAGTCAAAAGAATCTAATTTTAATTTAGCTGAATCTACGCTGAAAATGTGAAAAAAACCCTATTTTTGAAATTTAAAAAATTATCTTAAAATTTTTGAATTTTAAAACTTTTAAATACTGATACAAATGAGATATTAATAGTGTATTCTTGAGTTTTATTTTATTATGTTTTTTCGGAAAATCCGACGAAAAACCAAATAAATAATTTAACAAGCATTTAATATCTGAGTGAATTTTTAAATCGTAGACAATGTAAAATTAAAAATATATAAATTATGAAATTGATCAGACTTGCATCGAAGTGTTTTTTCATAATAGTGATTAACATCACTGTCAAAAATGATCTAAACTTCTACGTTCCATCTTTACCAAGTTCTCTCGGTACTGTGATTACACTGCCGAATTTTTCTTTTTGTAGTAATTTTATGGCAAAAGAATTTATGAATTTGTCACTAGTTTCTTCTCTAAATATGCCTTTAGTCAAGATATACAATGCGAAATAGTTAGAATTTATTTAGAAATTGGGCATTTTTGAATTTGAAATATAATGATAATGGTAAATTATTTTATAAGTCTTAATTTAGAAATTAATAATGGTAATTGTAGTGATTGTCTTATCAACAAGTGGTAATTTAAGGTTTTTTAATTGACAACACAGCAAGAGATAGGCAATGGACTCTTTTTTACTCTACGGGCACAATCATTTTATGCACTTTTCAAATAACTACCATTTATAATCTGCGTTTTGTGATAATGATTGCATTACGTAGTGTCTGTTAAAACCATCTGTTGTATATGGGTATTATTTGAACAATTGCTCGATCATCATTGTATTTGTAATCAAGGTATCCTATGTCTTCAATATTATTCAATAGTTCTTCTGGTCCAATTATTTTACAATTTTTAATAATCATTCTTTTGGTTACCTTAATTAATTTTAAGATATTTTGTAGAATAAAATCTCTGATTGATGATTTGTAAGCAGATTTCTACAATTGTAAGTTAAAAATTAGTGTCTTAAAAATTTTTTTTTTATTAAGAACATATTTAACTTTATTTTTGGTAATTTTAACTTTTGTTCTCATACTATTTTTATTTAATAGAAACATAAATACTACAGTGTATTTATAATTTTAGTAATGAAGTTAAATCTAGAGTTTTGGATGTCTAAACTGCCTAAACCTTTAACAGTTATTCCTATCACGCATTTAGCAATACCAGGTATAGTAAATTGAATTATTTATATTAAAAATAAGCATGCTTAAATATGGATTAAAGAAGCTGAGAAAATTTATTAGTGTAATTAGTGTAAATAGATAAATAAATTCTAAAATATTTAAAAACATCTTAGGATCTCATGATTCATTTTCATATACAATTACACCTAACAGTAAAGTTGGACCTGATGCTACTATGTTAGTAAAATTTTTAAACTTTTTACTTGGTCGGCGTTTGAGAAATTTTGTTTATAAATGGTCTATTACACAGACAAGTGATATACAAAATCAGTTACTTTTAGGAATAAGGTAAATTAATTTTCTTATATATAAAAATATGTTAAAAAAAATTTTGACCAACAGTAGTATTGAGCATATATTTTATTATAATTTTGGATATAAATATGTTCATTTACTTAAGACGAAGATTGTCCAGCTTATAAAACATGTTGCTTTCTCTTTAGTCAAGGACTTATTTTCAGTCTTTGAATTATTGACAAGTTTTTACTCATTGAGGTTAGTTTTTTTATGGTTATTACTATTTGGAATATGGTGGGTCAAAACAGTAATGGCTATTTATGTCCAAAACATTTTTTTTCATTTTAAAATAATACTATAAAAATGACTTCATATTAAATAAATGTGATAGTACTCTACTCTATCAATTTGTGTCTGACTTAAACCCATAAAAATTTGAAAATTAAAAATTACCAACTTTTGTGAAAATTTATCCTGATATTGATGATTAATTGATGAAATTTATTTTAATTACTAAAAATTACTTACAAAAAGTTAAGCACTTTTTTCTGTATAAATAATTGAGAAATATATATTTGAAATTGTTACCTTTCAGTTTAATAAAAGATAGTTGAGACAGACAATATTAATTAATAAAAAATATGTTTTTATATGGTTTCATACGAAAATGAAAAATGATTAAATTGGCTAATAAATGTACATGTTTATTTAAACAGTTAAGCAGCAAAAGATTATTAAAGCTATTTTTTTAATAGGTATTTTGATTTACGGATGGCAACTAAACCAAACGATATTAACTTTTACACAGTACATGCTCTCTATGGTGATCCAATTATAATTGAGTTAATAAATATTAAAAATTTCTTAGATTCTCATACCAATGAAATAATTATATTAGATTTTCAACATTTTTATAATTTTTTGGAAGCCGATCATGTTCGATTAACAATTATTTTGAAATCAATATTTCAAAATAAAGTTTGTCCAATGCCTAATGTAGTTGAAAAACTAACTTTGGAAGTAATGAGAAAAAATAAATGGCAGGTAATTTTGACTTATTTTTTTTATAGTTGAATGATCTGATCTATCACATAATATTGTATCTTCATAAAATACAATAGTACTTATTTAAATTAAAATTTATTTGTATTTTACTATAAATAACCTAGTAGAAAGGTAATATTATTGTGGATAATTAGTTATCATGTCGAAAACGTATAATATTTTCAACATGATTTTCAGTTTTTTTTTTAATTGCCTATTTTTTTTTCTAGTGAATGTATCATATGTAAATAAACTTGAAACAATGCAAAATACCCAAATGATTATTAAAATTGAATTTTTTGAAATTTCATGATCTTTTTCATTATAATAATTATGTCAAAATAAATTCAATTAGTTGAATATTGTTAGTTTGATGATATAACTTAAACCATAGTTAATTATGTATTAATTTCTAGATATCATAAGTTAAAGAATTGAAATTGTGTAAAACATTTTTTAGGTTATAATAATTTATAGACATGAAGTCTACGATAATCAATTATGGCCATCTTCATTTTGGCCTACACCTTGGCCACAAACTACATCCTTCAAAAAGTTAATAAAATTTTTGGATTATGGTCTCAAAACAAGAAAATCAAATACTGGATATGTTACTCAATGTTTATTTACACCTGATAAAAAATTTATACTTCAACATTTCAATTTAAGTTTGCAAAATAGCTGTGCTAAACCTTTAAATGCTTTTATATCAAGTTGGATAGAATTGCAAAAAGTGGGCTGTAGGGATGGGGTTAATGTAATTATTGCTGATTTTATAAATATGATTGGATTTAACTTTTGTAAAATTATAGTAAATTTAAATTATAAACTAATATAATTAATTAAAAATTCTTGTGATATAATAAGATTAATAATAATTAATGTTACCATTGTTCCTAATAAAATATTCATATATTTTTAGCCATTTGATTTTAGAGGTAAAGTTAATTATATTTATTTATTAAAATAAACTATGTTTGAATTAATGGTCTCTGATGCCTTGGTTATTAAAAAAAAAAATTCTAATATTGATTTAAGTAGTGAATATAGGAAGGTCTCTACAAATGCATCATTTCCTTGAGCTATCACTAACTTTTTATAATTGAAGTATTTGAATTATGAAACAAAGAAAAATGTTGCAGCTGCTCTTTGTAAACCTCTAGGACTTATAGATTATATACAGTATAATAATGATGTCTCAGTTTCTTTACTCTCTATAAAAATGTATTGTTTTATTGTAATTATTATATTTTATAATTTTATAGATATTTAAATGTCAGATAAAGTATTACCAGCTATACTTGATGATATGTTAATTGCACTAAAAGAAGATTATGAAAAACATCAACATTTGGATAATTTTTTTATTGGTTTAAATTCAATATTTGAAACTAGTATAATAGAAAATGCTTTTGAATTAATTGATCATGATAGTGTATATCTCATTGAGTGTCAACAACGTCATGTTTTTCAAGTAGTTGGTTCTAAAGGTGATATTTACGCTATATTACCATCATCAAATTTTTGTAAATGTAATTTTTTTAAAAACCAAGTAATGGAAAACAAATCTCTATGCTGTAAACATTTTTTAGCAGCAAAAATTGCTGTAATTTTAAAAAAGTACCGAAATAAAATAGAAACACCTAGAGGTTTGACTAGTATTATGTATAATGCGTTAAGGGATACATTTGAATGAACTCATTATAACGTTTAGTATTTATAATTATATGTAGTGAAATGTATTATTATAAATATAATATTTTAAGTATGATTTTACTATTTTATTAGCTTTGTATTGAAGTTTCATTTGTTTTTTATTATTAAATTAATACAATTGTTTAATAAAAATTTTTCTTTTTTGAAGTTAATAGTATTTATATATTCTATAATTTTCAATAATAAATGTGTCCTATTACTCTTCTTTCGTCTTTTTAATTGTATCGACTTAAGTTTTTAAAATGGTAATATTTGCTTAAATTTGGTCTCATCAATGTTACCTAATTGCATTATAATTGCTGATTGATTTAGTCATTTTCTATTTTGGCTATGTACTTTTTTATCATTGTCCATACCGTGGTGGTGTTATCCTGTCAACATTTTTTATCATTGTGAAAGTATTAATGTGATAAAAAAAAATCATCTGGAATATAGTAGCGATTGCTACTTTTATCAGAAATCTAAATTCTCGTTCAAAGTTAATTCATTAATGAATCCACTTGTACTTGTTATGTCAACATCAAGTAAAAACCCGAAAAATAGAGATAAATCCAGGGTTGCCAGACGGTAAAATGGTTCTAACTTAATTAAATTATGGTATTTTTATCAAAGTTTGGTTCATACATTTATGTAAAATATTTTTATTTTAACACCATTACCATTGTGTTATTACTAATATATAGCTGAAATGAGTCATAATTAGGTAGTTGGAGTTCTGTTGTTGAAATATGAGATCAACTAATTTATTGTACCAATCATTTCAGGACAACTTGCCTTATTAATACCAGTTGGTAAGGATTTTATTAATAAAACACAAATGTACTAATGAGCAGTACAAAGTTCTTAAGTGTTGCACGATTGAACTGCCAACATTGTTGTCTAAGAAACTTCTTCAATTGCATATCTTTATTATATTATGAAATATGATAAAAAATAATGAAATATGAAAATTTAAAACTTTGAAAAATTATTTAATTTTAGATAAGAATATATATTTATACAAAAAATATAAGTAAAATAAAGAACTGGAAAAGTAGCATAACAGTTAACCTAGTAAAAATTAAAATATCTACAAAGCTTTTCTTTAAAACAATAATAAATTAAATTTTTATACAACTTAAAAATACTTAAATAAATTAAAATAATTATATCAAATGTTTTGTTCTATCATTTGATAACTTAACTTTTTAAAATATAATGAATCTTTCATAGCTGTAACATAAATATTATGTTTTGGTTATTTTTTGTTACTAGAAATAATTTATTTGTTCATCAAATATACAAGCTAATCATGTGTATAACTTCTCCAATTGGCCCTTCTCATAACTTTATACTGAACATTCTGCAAGTAAATTTGAAGTGTTATTCTTTTATTTATGTAAAATAAAAGTAAACGCAGAAATATAATTTAAGTAAAATTTTTTTTTTTAGTTAATTAATTTTTTCTGTGTTTATTTTTTTAAATTTCAGGATTTTCAGACAATTCACTGTACATTTTTTTGTTTTGTAATTATAAATAATTATCAAAAATATTTTAGTCATTACTTAATTGAGTTTATAAAGATTGGTGGCTTTTTTTTAAAGAGATTATTGCATTTTATGTAAATTAATCTTTTTTTGAGCCTATAAATAATTTACTATTTTTCTCTGAAATTTAAGTTAAAAGTATCTACAGTTTTTAGTTTTTAGTGTAGCTGTAACTTGCTACAAAAAATAGTAGTTTCCTGATCATTGTCTTTATTTAAGATATGAATTTTCATAACAAATTCAATTGATAAGGTGCTTTTTTCTTAAATTTAATGCCAATTTTTATGAGGGAATTTCAGAATATTTTTTAATTATAGTTAATATGAAGCTATAGTGAACTCTTAGTAATCAAATCTTTGAAACTCATAAAGAAATAATCCAAACTCAAGCTTACTTATTCTATTTTTATGAAACAAATATAAGTGTTGGTTGATAAATAATACCACCAAATTAGTTTAGCTGTAATTATATTTTTATATTATGTGAAATTTAAGATACAATTAAGTATGTTGATAAATTATTACACCTTTCATAGACATATGTATGATTTGTGTACACTTACTTGATAAAATCAGGACACATGTCAGTGACATGTTCAAACTCGGAAAAAGATAAAGCGCCATCATCATCAAAATCAATTTCTTCAAAAATTTTTTGTGTTAAAAGTTTAAATTCACTATCATTAAAATAGTTATCTGTACCAATTAAGCATTGTATAACTTTTCTAATATCGTCTACACCCAACATGTCGTCACTATCAAAATCTTGAAAAAAAAAAAAAAAATTTGAATCTTTAATACTGAATCAATAGACTAGAGCAAAACAATCATTGTGATGATTTAATTTTTAATTATTGCTTAGTTTTTGAATAATTATAAAAATAATATATATATTTTTTTTTTTAATATTCAACTTTTTATATTTTGTTGATAATAGAATAAAAAAGTATCAAAATTATGTTACAATAAATTTGAAATGAGTATTTTTAGTCTTTTTAAATTTTGACCAGGTAGTTTCCTTTTAGATAGTTAGTAATATTGAAACAGAATGAATACATTATTAAAAATTAAACTAATAATGTCTACAGGATTAAAATTTCAGTGGGTCATAATTTGACTAAGCATACAAGTTTTTAATTTATATTTTTAAGCAATTATTTATGTAGACTGATGATCTAAAGCTAGTTTACTATAAATTGAAAACAGTTTAATGGTCAAAATTTTAATAAATATTTATACCACACTACTTAATAATAATTGTGAAAAATTCTATTCAACACCACTATGTGAGTTTACGAGAATTTAGATAAAGGTTTAAAGTAATAATTTTTATATTAAATAGAATATTTAATTTTAGTAAAATATAAGGTGTTCATTTAAATGAATATTACATTATTTATAGTCAAAGTTATAGAAATATGTGATAATTGTACACTAATTAAATTTTATGTTTCACATAATTTCACATAGACCATTACATAAAATTGTATAACAAATAAATCAATCGATAATTATACAATAAATATAAAAGTTTCATTATATGGTCATAGAGCTTCAATTTCAAATTTTTATTTTTAAAATATTTAGAAAAAAATCTTTTCTTGTTGGTAGTATATTGGGTCTATTATGAATGAACCTTACCAAAGATTCTAAATACATGCTCGGCTTTTACATCAGCTGGAGTCATGGGACTAAATACAGACATCATGTCTAAGAAATCCTCAAACGTACAATCACCATCTTGGCTCGAACTGAATACTTGACATATTCGCTCACCAAATGGATTGGCAGCTAATTCAGGAAGTTTTAACACTTTGTTAAGTGCCAATTTGGCATTTTTGTTATGCCCCACCTTTTCAGGAGCTAAAGACTTGAACTTCTCATGAGCACTAAACATTTATTATTATTATTACATTAAAAATACAATTTCAAAATATATTAGATCAATATAAGATATTTATTAAGAATGATTACCCAATAACTCATAATATACTCACATTAAAACTTCTTTTTTTGTAAAGTATGTGAGATCCTATAATAAAAAAAAAAAAAAAAGGAAAATGTGTAACCATTTTATCATTTAAAAACATTTCTTAATGAAATACAATTTACTACTTTAAAATAAAAGTAAATGTTACCAGGCTATATTTTATCATACAACTTGTATAATACAACAATATAAAGAAAACATATTTTACATTAGTTTCAGTTATATAAAAATAATATACTTAAGTATGACAACTAATTTATGTGTAACTAACCTAAGCTTACAAACTTTGGTTTTTACAAATTTCAATACACGATATTTATTTTTAATTTATAAATAATATTAATTTATGGATTCCAATCTTGATTGCTAGGGCCTGCATCTGGTTCTTCTTCAACTGTAGGCATAGGAGATCGATTTTCAAACAAAGGAGACATAGCTTCAGAAGTATTTTCACCACTGCTACAATGACCACTATTTTTGTGAGTTCGTTCAGATTGTTTTTTCATTGTTCTAAATCTCTTTCGTTCCTCCATCTCACATGCTTCATGGTGGGCATTACGTTTTCCATCATCTAAATCATCAACTACTTCAGGTTCTGGGTCAGGAACACTAGCAGCAAATTCAGTAGGATCTATGTCCAATTCTTCAACTACACGCCATTTGGGTGTAACTATTTCTTTATATTTAACCATTTCTACTCTAGAAGCAGCTGCGATACTATAAGGTATAACAATGTTGTCAATATCATATTCACGCTTAGCATTATAAGTCTTGTCTCCAGTTCTTGGAAACCAAGGACTATAATCTGGATCCGAGTCATAGTTATCATCTTCATAAACATCATCAAGATCTTCATCATCACAAATACTTTCACTACTTCTTCGACTGCTATATTTATAATCATCATCTAACCTGCTCCTTTTATGTTTACCATACCTCATTCGTCTTCTTTTTCTGGCTTGCCTTTGATTTCGATTAAATTTAGTAATTGGATCATTTCGATTTGGCCAAGCATTTTGTAACTTTACTGGTTGAACGGGTCTTGTGGTAGGACTTGGTTCAGATGATCTATCCATAAAAAATTTACTAAAATCCGTATTCGATTTTGATTTATTCTTTTGTTTTTGGTGAAATGATAATTTGCCTAGTTCATTAGATAAAGCAACATTTAATGAGGTATTCTTTGAATCAGAGAGAACAGGATGAAAAGTTGCACTGAAACGATGTGCTGAATTATTTGTATGGTGAGTAAGGCTTATACAAGTTGGACAGGAGTCAATACCATAACAGTCACAGGGGTTTATAAGATTAAATTTGGCTTTGTCACCTTTTTTCCAAGCAGCTGCCAAGTTAATTAAAGGTGGTTGGGTTAGCATTCTATGCTGTATTTTGGGTTCATAAGGATGAACTCTTCTTGCAGTATCCTCTTCTTGATCTTGAGTAAATGAACGTGTAGTATAACGATTTAATGCTTCATTATAAAAATTAATTTTAAATTCCATATCAGACATAACATTTACTAACCAAGTTAGTCGATATGCTATTCCCGCTCTTTCGTGGAACCATTTCCATGCATTTCGATTTTCAATAGGGTAACTTGTAGCTTGAATTTCTTCTTCACTAGTTTCACCTAATGTATCAGTTTCAGAATCACTAGCTGTTGCTTCAGAATCATAATCTTCATTTAAAGTTTTAATTTGTGACTCTAATAATCCAAAGACTTTTTCACCATCTTTAATTTCATCACACAATAAACTCTTTAAAAATGGATTTGACTGCCGTTTCTGAACTTTAAGTAAAGTTGTTTTGATATTCTTAATGGCACTACTCTTTTGAGATTGTAATAAATTATAAATCTCTTGAGTAGAACACTTACCCATAGTTTTTAACTGTATGTTTTGCAATTTAGAAACTATTTTTTGAAGTCGTTCTCTTAATACTTTTCCTTTGTTCATATATTTGTTGAAATTTTCTTTCACAGTTGGAGTATCATCATATTGTGTAACTACTTCTTCTTCAGCCATTCCAATAACATTATCTAAAAGATCTCTTTCAAAAGAGCTTAAATCATTATCTCCAATAGTGAACATGGCATCTGTATCACCATTGCCTATTTCAATTTGTTCAGATTCACTTTCATATGGCATTAATCCGTTTTTGACTAAAGATATATTTTTCATAACGCCAAGAATATCATCAGATGAAAATTCAATGGGATCACCATTTTTCAATGGTGGGTTGTCATCCATGGTTGGTTCCTTGTACATCCGAACTTTGCGTAAGGTAATTGCTAACAAGGAAGGCTCGTGTGCAGACGATTTCATAGACGAAAATATTATTTTAACAAACAATTTCCGCCTTTTCACGTCCACTCGCACGAATATAGATGCCATGACAAAACACCGGAGAGGCTTATTCGGAGGCCGTTCATCCGTAATGACGGTATTTTAGTCACATTTGCCTCAATGGAATTATATCCTGATAATAAATGTTTCAATATATATTGCTGCACACCGTACTTACAATATTTCAGTACTCATTAGATCAACGGTGTTTACATCATATGTCGCCCGCCACCCGTTTAGAATGATGTTGTTTAACTTAATACCATGAGGACCGTCAATAGAAAATAATCCAAGCTATAGTTAAACACTGAACAAAAATTGTTTACAACACATTTTTAATAGAATAAAACACAATCGCAATTTAAAACATTTAATATTACACCGTCAAAATTTTCATCTGGAAACGCGCGTTATTCCGATACAACTCCGTTTTATAGCGTTGAAAGGAGACAGACGCATAATAATAATAATGGGTAAAAAACACGGTCGCTTTCTTCTAGGAGTTACGTGTTGTCACACGATTACCAACTGTGTTCACAAACTGTCATGGAATATAAAACTAAGTTATCGATCTTTTTCATCCCTTGTATATCTCAAGCTTTTAGGGTCGATTATTATGAATTATTGTAAATTTTATCACAATCCAATCAAAGTACAAATAACTCTTTATTAAAATTATTTACTACATTAACATTTACACAAATATGAAAATAACTTGTCTAAAATTATACAATGACATTTGAATAAGTTAAAAATTTGAAATATTTTAATAAAATTTACAAAATTGTTATATTAATAATTTTTTAAATTTGATTGTAGTTTCAATTTTATAGCCTTTAAAACACGTATATAAAAATATATATATTTTGTACTATAAAAAACACCTATATATAGGACTCACTTTTTTAGAGTAAAAGAATTACAGCAAAAAAATCAATAAATTAAAAATTCGACGTAAAAAAAGTTTGTACTAATAATTTATGTACTTTCATAAAATAATATTAAAAATAAGTTAAAGAGTTATGTTTACACAAAATTACATTTCAGCTATTATTACCTGGTAATCATTTAATTCTTCAACTGAAAATTGACTAGAATTTTGACCCATTTGAAGGTATAACGATAAAATATTTTTTTATGTCCAAATAATTGGCATTGTAAAGAAGGTGTCAAAACAATATTTTATAATTTTATGAAACGTAGAATCTTTTATTTCTATATAGTGTATAGTATTATTATTACAATTATAAAAAATGATAAGTCGAAGGGTGGAATAACATGGAAGAATATTAAATACAGTGCTACCAATAGCTTTTGAATTAAAATACTTCTGTTATTGTTTTATTTAGATCTGTGACGCTTTTCTTGATTTTCTAATAATGGCGGCATTGTTGTTGGTAGTGATGAAAAATTTAAATCATTTAGATTCTTCCGATTCAGATCACTAAGAAACAATTAAATGGTTGAGTTCATTACATGCTTAGAATTACATATATTCGTAAATTTGATTAAGATTTGAAATTTATTTTTTATTATTTGTCTATAATGCTCTCTGCAATATATATTTAATTGGAAATTTAAATCTTAGATATTATTTAAATTTCGTCATAACATTTGGTCCAAATTGCTATAGGTAAAGGATTTTACTTTTTTATGATTTTATCGAAAAATATCCAACGTTTTTAACAAGGATTACCTCTTTGCTTAGTAATTTATTGATATGTCTGTCAACTACAGTACATAATACATTTGCGAGTGAAACATAATTTGGTTGCATTTTTATTTAAAAAACAATAAAATAGGAAACTAATTTAATTATTGCTCTTTTACTTTTTTGAAGTCCAAATTTTTTCCTCGAATGCCACTAAAAAATATTCAGTGAATAGAAAATCGATAATAATTTTTTTGAATTTTTAATATTTAGGAATAGCAAAATGAATTTGATAAAAAATTTAACTTTGTTTATCAATAAATAATTTAAATGAATTGATAAAGTCTCAAAATTTCTATCTTACTTGTTTTTAAGCACAGAATGTACAATTTGTTTAACGATAATGAAAATAATAAATTAATCATTAATTTAAATAATTGAAAACGCGAAATCTACGTATTTAGTTGATAACCATTAGGAAGGTGATTGAATTAATGTAATTCATTTATGACAGACTATTAAACTTAGAGATACAGATTTAAACAGTTCACCAAATAGATTAATTTATCATCAGCGACTCATTCAATTTATCTTCGAGTCAATTTTGTGAATTGATTCATTTGCAAATTACACACCACTGATATGTACATTTTAAACGTGTGTACTTTTTTAGTTCTATTTTTCATTGCTGAATGTATTACAAGACTATTGCATTGAATTCAATGAATTATAACAGTTAAAAATTTGAACATTTATGTATGCTTTTGAATATTTTAACATTATTATTTCTAAAGGTGGGAGTAAAATAATCTTGCTTGAAATGTTTACGAATGTATCCACGTTTTCAGTTATGAGCTAATTTTTATTAAATACATCCATAAATATTTTAAGCAATACAATCCACGAAAGCTTTAACACATACATAAAATATTCTTTTAAAATGACTTAAACTGTGATCAATAGTCGTTTTAAAATATTTTTTAGTCTATTAATAATATGATATATTCTACAAAGTTATAATAAAATGTGTAAATAGAATATATTCGTTATAATAATATATTTTTATATCAAAATAATATATATATATATTTATATTTATAAATGATATCCTTAATTCAAAACATTATTTTGATTTAAAGAGACTGTATTCTGTATATATGTAAATGTTTTTATTTATTATAAATCCTATATTATAATAAAAAGACCATAGCACAAATTTTAATGTAGGATTGTGCAAAATAAGGATAATGTAACATCTGGGCTTTAGAAATCTGTATTAAAATAGTTTAAAAATTAAAAGCTTAAATGATGTTGTTGGTATTAGTTTATAAAAATATTTTTAGAGTAAAGGAAAAATTAATTATGCTTCAAAAAATTTAATTGTAGATGTGTGCTTATGATTAATGGTCATCAGTATACAATTAAATGTTATTGTGGGATTGATTATTACACATTATACAAAGGAAGAGATTGTAGTCTGATTCAATAATAACAATATCACATATCCTATTAAATTAATGTAAGTAACTCTTATTTCCAAATTTAAAAATTAATGATGGATGGTATAATGTATTTGTTTATAAAATTAATAACTTTAATTATACTGGATTTAAAAAAAGTATATTTTTAAGTTTTTTTTTAAATTTAAAATAGATTACCTCTTAAAAATATGTTACATGAAAAATAATTTGATGTATACATTATGTCTATTCATTTATGGCATACATAATGACATTAAGATATGTTTTTGAAAAATGAGTAAACATTTATTCAAACTAATTTTTAATAACAAAACAGTCTTAAAAATGTAGTCGACTAATATAACTTATAATTTAAAAACAATATTTTTAACTGTAGTAATGCATTTGGCAAATTTGTTAAAAGTTTTTACTAAAATATATAAAAACAAGTGGAAAATTGTACATCATGAGAATTATACACATAAAATTATATTTAATCAGGCTTATTTATAAAAAATAATTTACAAATAATACAATATTTTTTTATCTAGTATTTGTGTTTATGTTTTCTCGATGAGTGAGATAATGGAGATGGTGGTGTACGCGCTCGATGACGATGAGGAGAACGAGAATATGATCTTTTATGTCTATGACTATGTCTGTCTTCACGTTCACGATCTCTTCTTTTTGATATGGAACGAGGTGACTCTACTGGTGAAGCTCTAGATTTTTTGTTACTTCTTGGAGAAGAAATTTGTTTTTTTCTTAAAGGGGGACTTGGGCTTTCACTTCTAATAAAATAATTACAAGTAAATTTGTATATATTCTTTATAATTATATTTTATAACAATTACCTAATACTATGAGATGACCATTTACTATAAGCAGGACTATGTGAAGGACTTTTTGAACGCTTTTTTTTTTTATTATCTCGGTATTCATCATCCGGACTCAATCTTTTATTTAATTTCTCTTTTTTGTCTTTTTCAAGTTTTAATTCTTTTTCCTGAAAAAAAAAAAAAAATAAATAAATAAAATAATAAATTAACATTAACATAAATTATCTTACTTTCAATTTATTTTATTTTTAACTATTTCGATTAAATGTCATATAACAAATATTTTAAAGAGCAAAATATCTTTTTGATATAAGATAAAATTTTTTATTTTTTAAATTAATATTGATGAGATTTTTATGAAATTATATGAAAAAACTTCTTACTGGAGATTTATTAACTTTTTTCAAAAGTTTTCTTCTATAATGTTCCACTTGTTGATAAATATTCCAACCACCTTTTAAGGACCGTTTTCCAGATTCAAGTTCATCTTGATATTGCATAACTTTCAATTCAATTTCTCTTAGCTTAGCTCTACGGTCATCAGCATTTTCCCTAGAAATGTAAAATATTAAAATAATATAGACAGAGTGTCTTAGACCTAAATGACAACAATTATAACTTTTGATTCAATTATTATTTCGTAGGATCTTTCTTTTAGGTATGAGTTACTGTATATATACAGTGATCAGTTTTAAAAAATACCACTAGAATACTCTCAAAATAATCATAATATTGAAAAAATATTTTTTGGTTATTTTAGTTACATATATTTTTTTATTTATTAGCTATTAATTACTTTTTAGGATCATCCTTTATAACTTATAGGGGTGTCAACTTAATTTTTTTTATTAATAATATCAATAATAATATTGTTGATTATTATGATAAATAACTTACAAAGTATCAGTTCAAAATTTGTTAATAAGTGATCATTTTTTTAATTTAAAGCTAGTTATACGGAGTGAGTTATAAAGATATAATAAATTTAATAACTTTTAATCCAATTATAATTTTAATGGACATTTTTTAAAGTAATTATTGCCTTCTTAGACAATGTTTAAAGTATATATTTTTATTATTTATCACTAATAAGTAATTTTTTGTTCTATTTTTTAGCTATTTCTTTGCCTTTTTCTTACAAAAAATTTTGATAGGTTGGATAACAATTTTAGGACAAGTACTAATTAAAAACATACAGTGGGTATGTAGCGCAGGTGTAGCAACCTATAATGGTATACATGTACTCTCCTTACGTTCCATATTATTATTTTTTTCTTATTAGAGATATATATGGTCCACTTTGAAGGTTGTTAACTTTATGCAACTTTGACATAGCATAATATAGTAGCGTAGAAATATTTTTTGTTTAAGTGGGGATAAACTCTTAATACCCCCAAAAACTATAATCTATAAACTATAAACTTATGAACTATTAACAACAAAGTTATCAATTTATAAAAATTTGTACTGGCGGCTGATGGTGATTTTGGAATAAATAAACAAAGTTTATAAATATGTATAATTTTGGACTATAGTGATAAATAATAAAACAGGGACTCCCTTGGAAATGTTTTAATTAAATTTAATAAACTTAAATTGATACGGTTTTTAAGGGCAGAAAAGGGGGATTAGACCAATATTTTTTTTTAATTATAGAATATAGGAATATAGAATATATATTATTAACTCCAAAATATAAAAAAATCATTTTTTATACTTTTAAAGATATTGCATGAGAACTAGATAACTATCCTGTATATACTTAACATAATACATATTTAAGATAATCATATATGTACCTTGTTTCATTAAAGTCATCATCTTGAGAATCATGACCAAGAGATCTAGTAGATTCTCCAAATTCATCTTTATTTTCTTTTTCTAGCATTTCCCATTTACTAGTGGTCATTGCTTGTTCTTCTGCTTCTTGAGGATCTACTGTTTCCCATCTTGATGGGACAAATGCTGCTGCTTTTATATTTTCTTCTGAAAGTTCTCCAGATAACGGTACACCATCAATATCTTCATCTAACACTTTAAACAAATAGTATAAGATTATTTGTTCACATAAAATAAAACAACCTAATTTATTACTGAAACTCTAAACTATATATATTATATAATTTGGATCTGTTGATCTAGCAAGTCTAAATTTTTGAAGAATAGCAACATTGTTTTTTTTAATATAATAGTTATATTCTCTTAGAAATCTTTTAGAAAATTTAATGTAACCAATTGTAAAGCAATTCGTTAGTTAAATTGTATTAATGGAGTGAGATAGTATCTCTTTCTGTTGTAAACCATTTACAAAAACATATGTAGTAACTTTTTGTATCTTCACATTCTTATCATATTTGAATAAATATTATTATTAAAATGAATAGAAATTAAAAAATGTATCACTTATGCGAAAAAAAGTTACTTGAAAACTCTAATATATTTGTATATTTATGTGTTCAATAAAAAATATCTACATAAATTAAAAAATAAACGGACAAATTATATTTTTTACTATGACAAACAAGTTTATACAAGATATGACTAAAAATTATAAGTTAAAAAAAAAAAAAAAAAAAAAAAACCATAAATGTAATAGTGATAGTTAAATATTCTGATTAGTACCAAATAATATTAACTTGGTTTTTCAAAATTTACTGATTTCACCCATCACTAATTATAACCATTTAGTTCTCCCTATATTATCATTTATTGGTCCAAGCTATTAAGTAAATATATAAACAGATATATTATGATATTGTTAAATAAAAAACCTATGAATCTATTGAATTGTTTAAAAAGCATTTACTTAAAATTGTTAGTTTTAAATTTATAGGTATATGGAAACAGAAAATAATTATCAAAATACAAACCGAACCCAACCATGATTAAGAGTATATACTACAACTTGAAATGATTTAAGAAATTTTTAAGGATAATCAACATGAGTTGTTTTTGAAATTTGTTTGAAATGTACATTAAGGTAACTATGAAATAACTTAATTAATTGAAAACCTATTTACTACATTGTGGGTTCTAAAATAAACAATGTTTCTTATTTTTGTAGAAAATGTAACAAGGCCCTTAGACATGGTTATTCATAACTCTTAATTAGTTGAGATCATACATGGTACACCATCAATATCAGTTTCACCAGGTGTAGCATCATTATAAGCATGTTTTAAAAGTGCAGCACCATCTAAAGGAACACCATCTAAATCTTCATTTTCTACATTTTCAGTATCTGATATAGGAGCACCATCTATATTTTCCTCGTCATTAGAAGGTTTAAAATTTGAGCTTGCATTATAATTTGATTCATCCAAAATTGATTTGGGGGGTATCTATTAAAAACAAAAAATATAAAATCTATATTGTTTTAACTTAATTTTAAGTAAAAAAATTTACCTCATTCAAAGATAATCCAAGAAATGTGTTTTGGCACTTGTATAAAAATTCTTTAGGATATATATCCCATTCTTCCCAAGCATGAAACATTTGCATCATACGATGTTTAAAGCCTTCTGCTTGGTTTACATCTAAATTTTTAAAGGTTTTGTGAGCTTCATTCATTATAGAAAATAATCTTGTTTCGAATCTAACAACATAGTAAAACATTTTTTTAATAAATAGTTAAACTTATCCTATAATTAGATAAATGAATATGAGTTCAGAAATTTGTATAAGTTCAAAACTAATAACATTTGTTAATAATTAAAAATAGTTTAAATAGTGTTTTAATCAAAAAGTATTGAAATTCTATACTAAATGTTATTAATCTTGAATTTTTAAAATATTGATTGAATTAAGATTTACCCTCTTCTAAATTGAGTTGCGTTTATTATTTTTAAGCCACAGTTATGTAGAACATCAGATATTAAATAATAGCGAGCTATCTAAAATATAAGGAAAATAATGACAAAGAGTATTATAATTAAATATTTATTTTTATAAAATATAAATGTATATATTTAATTATTTACAGGTTGTTACCTAAGAGAAAGATACATTGTATTATTTCTATATATGGTACAAAGAAAATTTTTTTTATACAAATTATACCACACATAATATCTTCAAAATATAAAATAATTTATTAACCTTATTCTTTTTCAAAAGATTATAATTTGTATAGAATACCAATTAAAAAAAAATTTAGTTTTATTCTCTTCATTAGATATCCGCATTAGTTTTTTAAATGACAACATATCTATTTTTTGGCACACTTCATATAAAATCATTTTATGAAGAAAATGACTGGCTGATAATAACTTTTGACTCAGCATTTTTGGAAATATTCAAATTTCTAAATGATAGCTAGAGGCAAGGCATGGGGATGACTATTTTCATTATTAGGTATTAAAAATACTGCATTCTATCGTATTCATATTCATAATTATATAAATTTTCCATTATTAAAATTAGTTAATCTCAATGTTTCAATTAAAAAACTCAAATTTACATAGATTTAAGGAGTATGAAAGGAAGGATACAGCAAAATTAAAAAAAAATAGTAATAAAGCCCATAAAAACCTATATATTTTTGAAAAGAAAAATTAGTCAATTTTTTTGTATTTTTAAAAGTATTATTTGAGGTATAATTCAAATCATCATCAAGTACAAATACACAAAGTAATCAGTTTATTACAACCTATTCAATTACTCACAAAATAAAAATAACTTTGAAATTTTTTTTGTTTTTGCTTTTTTAGTTACTCATATTTTTCGATTTATTGATCAAGTATTTTTCGGATATCGCTTATTTCCTATAAGGGTGTAAACTTTTTTTATTTTAAACTAGTTTATAAATGAAAAAATAACTAGGTCATTAACTTTTGAATCAGCATTTTGGAAGTTATTAGTATTTTAAAATATAGTCTGGAGATGAAGCATGTGTATGACTATTTTTATGATTATAAATTTCTTGTCCTTACTTTTTCTACCACCTAACTATAACATATAAATAACTTCTCATAAACATAAAAAATATAATACATAAATAAATATAATATAATATAAATGAGTAAAAAAAGAGTTATTATTTTGTTAAAGAAATTGTAATCAGTTTGAAACTGAATTTAAAATACAGTCTTATGTTATCATTAATATTTTTCATAAGAGAAAGGCTAAAAAATGGTTATTTTGAAATAATAAAAAAAATGAATTATTTTTTTCTGATTAGTGATAAATAACATAGAATATCTTTGAAACGTAGTCTAAAACGAAAATAATTATTTAAACAAAAAAATGTCAACAAAATGATAATTGATTAAAACTTTATAAATGTTATCAGTTAGGTCTAAAACACTGTATGTATATGAGTATGTAAGCCTATATTTGAGGAGATATTTTAATCATATATACTTGAGACAAATTATTTAGTGGCCTAAGATAGAAATGGTCAGTCCAGTTTCTAAACTGATCTCTCCCCTTGTAATTAAAGCCATCTAAGATTGAGCCTTATACCTGTGACAGTGTTCATCAGGTATTTCTGACTTAAATATAATATCCTTCTAATTGGCTAAAAACAATTGTTATTTAGTACTAGTAATTACTTTTTTATGTATGGCAGTATTAATATTAGAAAGAGATTCTTGAATACAATCACATATTTCATCAACAGCCTCACTATGCTCTACACAAAAGACCATAACTTCTGCTACTTTTAACCGATCAGGTGTCATATTTCTAATAAGGTCTTCAAAACGTTCTCTTTGTGAAACACTTAATGTTCCTTTAGTTCTTGTAATTAAATCTTCTTCTGGTAATAATTCTTCAGGCATACCAGCAGTATAAGGATTCATTGGTGGTGGTCTCCAAATGGATCCACCTTTAAACATACAAAAATCTTCAATACGCCATTCTTTAGGTGAATCTCCTTGTAACATGGAAAATAATTTCCATCTATAATATAGATGTGCTGGAGAAACATTATCAAACAAAAACCTATCAAAATAAAGATATATTTTATTAGTAATACACAAATTTTAAACATAAAGGTTGAAAATAATTAGATATCCTGTGGAAGTAATAAAACTCAATTAAAAATATAAAATAAAGTTATTTAGTTGTATTATAGTTAAAAAATTTATATTTACTGAAAGGTCGGATTATTTAATTCTTTGTTCATAATCATAGCTTCAAACAAGGGACCTTCACGTATGACAAATTCAATCATATGATGTATAAGCATCAAAAGATTTCTGAAATAATCATTAATAAGATGAAGTGAGATAATTGTAAGCAATTAGGGTAATTTTAAATGCATTTTTTTAGAAAAATTCATGTTTTTACTTTGAATTTGTATTTAATATGATAGCAACAAATATAAGGACTAAAACTTTTCAATTTCAAATAAAATTTACTAAATATTTTAAAGCAAAAGAAAAATTTACAATAACCTTATTTGTATATGTATTTGCCCTAGTTTATCCTAATTAAAAGTATTAATATTAGAAGTCTTAAAAAAATATTATTCAATATGAATATTGTTTAAAATTCACAACAAAATAATTATGCTGTGATATATATTGATATATTACAAAATAAATATTTTGATACTTTATAATATTGATTTTAACATGTTTATTCACAGTTTATAAATTAATAAAATTTATCAATAATATTTATTGTTTAAGGACGCATTCTAATACAAAACAATACTAATTTAAAATTTGAAAATAGTTGGAAGAGTATGTATAAATTATTTGTTGAGTTAATATATTTTCATAACAAAAAATTAAAAGGCCCTTAAATAAAATAAAAATAAAATTACATACTAGATATTGTATAAATAATTAAAATAATTACAATAACTTTAAGTAATAACACAAATCAAATTTGAGATTTCATTTTATATTTTCTTCATATGATAAGTAACCACTGTTATTGTAACTTGATATCTCTTATCATATATTGATATTGAAATATTGCAATATGTTAATCATATATCGTTATCGAAAATATCTATATGTTTTCGATATTGGTATCATATCGAAGTTTCAATTTTGTTTAAGACCTCTAATTAATATTATTTATAAAGTTATGAACATAAATTATTTTGATATAATGTGAACTTTTTGAATAATTATTAAATATTCATAAAAAAAATAAAATAAATATTGAGAATTTAAATATTTTCAAAATAAGAAAGAAGTGTTGATTTCCTTTTTTCTCTTATATATTGTTAGTTTCTTCAACAATTGTTTGAGTTCATTAACAAATAATTATAATAATCTTGGGTTCAACAATTAAATTGAGAATTATTTATTAATAAAAATATATAATACCACTATTATTATATTAAATATTTACCTTTCTGTAGGTATAACTACTTTGATAATTGTCTGAGGTAATATCTAAAAATATTAAAAATTAAGATTATAATATTTACTGCATTTATTCTATATAAATAAGAAGTTATTAAAAACATTACTTTTTCTAAAGGTTGACTTCTATCAAAAAAACTTCCATCATTACGAAAACGTCCATGTCCCTACACAAAAGTAGATGTATGTTAAATGTTAATTTATAGATAGGCCATAATGATTCTACAATATATCATCATACTTTTTTATCTTTGTTGAATAAAATTGGTTGAGCATTGAAGGGTAAACCAGATGGAGGAGGTGGTAATGTAATAGCTAACAGTGCTGGAGGTATGTAAATAGGATGAGGAGGTATTGGTACACATTTACCCCAACCCATTTTCATTTCATAAGACATGACATCTTTCCCTAAATATTAAATTTAATAAAATTCAACTTTTTCTTAAATTTTATTTTTTAGTCTAATAATATCATACCATTTAGATTTTTTAATGCTCTTTCACCATCTTTTCGACTCATATAAGCCACAAATCCACAGTTTCGACCTCTAGCTTTTTCTTCATCTGATCGAGGCCACATTATCTTAATGCTAGCCAAAGGCCCATACTTACCAAAAACTTCCATTAACTGAGCTTCAGTAATCTAAGATTAAAAAATATAATAAAATATTAAATATTTTATTGTTTATCCAATTAAATATTTTGCTATTCTATACTAAGTCCTATAATAGCTAAAATAACTTAATTTTTAGAAAATTAAGTTACTATTGAACAACATTATGAGTTTCATACAAAGTGTTTGGCTAAATATGTTTCACATAATATTTAAAAAAATACAGGTTTAATAATCAAATTTTTTTTTTTAATCATCATGGATCTTTAATGAGGTGTTTCACAAAAAAATTTTAATTTCTACCACTATCCCTTATATGAAAAAACTTGTATCAACTTTATATTTACAAATGGCAACCCTCTTTTTTTTTGCATCATTAGATTTAATATGATAAAAAAAAAAAATGTTTATTTTATTAAGTGCTCTACGGCTTTTTAAAGTTTAGGGTTTAATAAGAAAAAATTATAACAGATTAGAATGTTATAGGTCGTAAATCGATAAGCACTATTCTGACTATGTGCGTTGCCATAGTAAACCGGTAGCTCTTATTGTTACATAAAACAATAATGTGACCGTGTTGGAAAAACTACTGAATTTTTTCATCAAATATCAAAAATTTTAAAGTAGCGTATCTTATTTAAAATTCATAATTTATTATTATTTTTTTTATGACAAACAAAATACTATAAAAATAATATGGGGTTGTGATTCGAAAATCTGAAGTTGATACAAGTTCTAAGAATAAGCGATGATGATAGAAATTTAATTTTTCTTGTGAAACAGCTCATCAAAGATCCATAATAATTAAGAAAATAAATTTGTTTATAACACTTGTATTTTTAAAGATATTACGTGAGACATAGTTAGCTCACTCTGTATATGTTATTACAAAAAACACAGTAATTCAACTAAATTTTATTCTCGTCAAAATAAATTATATTTGATTGAAATTACAAAATAAATGTAAATCTCAGTAGTTAGTCTAATAATTCTTGGTATATAGAATTAACAAGAATATATAGTACTTATTTTAATAATGAACAAAACTGTAAGTTTTTTATTTATATAATTTTATGTTTTAAAAGTAATAACAGTATTTTTATTAATAAAATTATATAAATATTTTCAGAGTAAGGAACTATTATCTAAAAATCAAATACATTTATGACAACATTTATTACAACTTCTTCATAAAACAAATATTAAGCTTGACAAGCATTAACGGTAATTGGGAGGTATCTCTTTTCAAAGTTTTCAGAAAAACTATATATAAAATAAAAATATATATATAACAGAATTAAAAAAAATTAGGTAAGCTCATTAGATATGTATGTTGCTAATAAAAAAGTAATATTTTTTTATATTTTTATAAAGCATATGCATAAATGAATAATAATTGATAAATAAAAATAGTTGATCCTGGCTAATTTTTAACTTTTTGAGTTAGATATTTTTTAGTTTTAAATCATTATTTTAAATATATTTTTTAAGTAATAAAGGGGTTTTTTGTATGATGAAAATAATATATACCTAAATATTTGATTTTTAAAGATTAAAAACAATCTACTTTTATAACTATTTGATGAAAATATTTTTAGTATTTAATTTAAATTCACATTTATAGTTCATAAAATAAAATTTAAATTTACTCCTGAATTCATTAATTTCAAAATGAATGAATTTGTATGTTAAAATACAAACAAGTCTTACTTTTGGATTTAAATTTCCCAAGTATAAATTTGTAGTATTTGGATCACCAGAATCAAATGAACCTTTAATTTCATCTGGCTCAACCATAATTAGATCTAAAAAAATATATTAAATAATAAGTAGAAATATTATTAAAAATATTTTTACTTTTGATTTCGGGATCTTCAATTGTTTTTTGTAAAACTCCTTTAAATTTATGCCTTTCTTCTCTTTCTTCTTGAATCCTAGAAAATAATTAATTCTAAAACTAATTATGTGAAAAAAATACATGTATTTTAAAAATTATTTTTAATATTTTTATATTAACAAAAATGATAAAAAAAAGAAGAGATTTGATCCCTTAACTTGTAAAAATATGATAGCAATTAATGCCAGTTAAAACCCAATTAAAAGAGAATTATAACTATACTATCAAGATTACACAATAAAAATTCATTAGTATCATTATAAATAATTTATAATTGATTATAGGATGATTCACTTAACATGAAACACATATTTCATTTAATAATAAAAAAAAATAATTATCATTTTTTGTTTGTTTTTAGTTCCATACTTTTTTAGTTTTTTTTATCATAAAATATTTTTTATATTCATCCCTTATACCTTATTAGGATATCAATTTTTTTTTTCTTAAATGTCAACAATATATCATATTAAAATATGACATAATAGTTTAACTAATATTCTGAATTTTAACAAGAAATGACAATAACTTTTTTTTACATATTGTTTTAACATTTTATAATATTAATCTAATACTTTTTTTTTTACATTTTGTCTGTGACTTATTTGATAATTTAATTATTATTTTTAATTATATAGTAACCTGATAATAAAGAAATTCAAATAGTAGTTACTAATAATTTTTTAACACTCCAAGTCATATTAATTTAGTAAAATTTTTATTTATATAGAATAATAAGAAAAAAACTTACATTTTAAGTTCTTCTTTAAATAGTTCTAGATTACTTTTTTTTTTTTCACCATCTCTTTTTTTTTTCGAGGTAGATCTATCAGATTTTTTTTCTCCCATAAAACGTGATAAATCATCCTTATCTATGTTGTCTGAACTTCCTCGAGCTTGTGGTTTGTACAATTTACCCTTTTCTCTTGTATCTTCCTCTAAAAATCAAATTAAAAAAATTAGGCTATAAATTCTAATAAACTTTATTACTTAAAATTCTATAGAACAACAGTTTTCAATAAACAAATAAAATTTTAAATTAAGAATAAGTAAAAATTAACCCAACATCACAAAAAAATCAATAATTAACTTTTTTGCCCTTCAACTTCACATTTATCATGGTTCATGAAAATTAATAAAACTTATTTCAGCGTGTTTAAAATTAAACATCAATAAAGATTTATGTAAATAAATAGATTACGCTATTTAATACAAAACCTTATTTTTGCAACTAAGAATAATCTTATGGAATATTTTTTTATGATATTAATTAGTATGAATGTTTCATTAGAAAATTGGATATTCTAACCCAATTTTAATTAAATAAGTTTTGTATTTTCAAATAAAATTTTTTATTTTTAAATTAAAATCTTTATGTTTGTTTAAGCATCTTAACATACGTCTTTTTCCTGCATCATATGTGCCTGCTTTAACCCAAACTTTACTAGATTTTTTTCCTTCATTTTGAAATGTAGCCACAAATTCTTCAAATGCCTAAAAAATTTTTTTGTTTAATGATTTTTAAAAAATTATATACAAGTATATTTACTTGGGCAGCAGCATGTTCTTCTTCTTTTTTCTTTTGTTCATTGATTTCTTTTTTTGATGGTTGCGTTTTTCCCATAGCTCCAATTGAAAAAGCTTTGAGCTTTTGCTCCGCTATATACTATTAATAATCATAAATTAACACAATTTATTTAGATAAAGTTTTTAATGTAAACATATTATTGATACTAAATTTAGTTTTATAAAATTACTATGCGAGTTTAGAATAAAATAGTCCAATTTTGTCAACCAATAGCAGGTACAAGATTATACAGAACAGTTTAGGTTATGAGAATTTTCTCCACTTTAAAATAATCACTTTTATTTTAAATAAAGTCTTTTTCTTTGATATATAAAAAAATCAATAATAAATTTAAACAGTAGTTTAGTAGCAAAGTATGCATACCACATTTGACTTAATATATTTAAGTATTTATTATCTATGCCAGTTGGTAAATTAAAACTAATCAGTATATTCTTCATTAAATGAAGAAAATTAGAAAATTTATACGAACTTGGTATAATTCAGTTAATTACACTTCAAAAAAAATCAAATAAATATATATATATATATGATTATTGAAATTGATTAGTATAGATATTACAATTAACTAAAAGTAACGATTAAATAAAATTGAATAATTCACTATTTAAATGTATTAAAATTACTTCTTACAACTGACAGAAAGAAATTTTAGTTATAATTTATGATCTTACTTTTTTGAAATGGCCCGAATCAGACATTTTAATCTGTAGTTAATTAAAAATATTAATTTTTGTATATAATTCTCATGTAGATGTAATTTATAACATTTTCCGCGTCAGTAACATAGTACAATATTTAATAATCACCAATACTATAAAATAGAGAAAATAATTATTATTTAGTACATAAAAGTTCTTGAACAATTTTTGAGTTGAAGAAAATAAGAATCGTGAGGATTATGGTCATATAATCACATAATTTGTGTTATTACTACAATAATAGATAAAATGGTTACACTGCGGCTATGTAATCTATAACGAAAAGCAAATACTAAAAACGACAATACGGGACAGTCAATGATAAAAAAAAAAATCCGAAAAATGTGTGCCTATTATTTGTATTATTTGACTACCTTAGATTTTTCAGGCGTTAATTCATTGATAACAATTTTTTGTGATAACGTTGTTTATTTAATATATTAGCTTCGATGCGAAGCTCAGAAGGTATTAATTTTACTATATATTTTTTTAATTGAAAATGATGAACATTTTACTTTTCTTAATTACTGTATACTATAATTTATTCAGTTATAACATACTTATTTTGTGATTTATATATAAAGTACTTTTACAAGCTCATAATTTTTTTGTTTTTAACTTTCTCTAATGAATTATTGTATTTCTTAACAGTTATGATAACATTTAATATTTTGTCAATTAATATTGACCTATAATTGGATTATTTAATTATATATCTTCTTTTTTCCCACTATTTGGGGTCGGCCACTTTTATTCTAAATATCCACTTGATACGATTTCCAACATTAGCTGTCCTTTTCAACATTAATTTTCATAACAGTTCTCACAGCATTTCGATTGATTCATCTCCCCTTATAACATTACTAAACCATCCAAGTCTATTTTCTCTCATCTTATCCACGATTGACATTACACCTATACTTATGCTCTGCTCTATTCTCTTGTCAACCGTTCAACACTCTGAACCATATTAGCTGGTTTCACTACAATCTTATAAAACTTGCTATCTAGTCTCATTGAAATTCTCTTATCGTGTAACACACCAGACGCTTCTCTCCATTTTGTATACTCGCCCTTAATCATGTGTTTTTGCAAATCTATTAATACATTCTTCATGGCTCAATTTTGAACATGCTCATCCATATATATTTGCTACATAGGTTTCTTCATGTGAGTCCATCAAAGTTACATTAATATTCATAAGACTTAAATAGTTATCAAATTTTTTTCAAATTAATTTGTCTTAATTCTACTTTAAGTTTTTTATTCAACTATAGATTTTTTGGACTCTTCACAGATGGTTTGCTAACAAATATATCAACATTCATATGAACAATGACTATCTATAAGTTGTTTATTTGAGCTTTCAACAAGTTGCTTATCATTAAATAGTTGCAATGAATTTTAGTTAGAAACACTCCATTTATACAAAACTCTAATTTAAAAAAAAACCCAGCACAGGGGGGTCGCGGCACAGTTGTGACGTGGTATAGTTGGATCAAGTATAATGATATCTGACAGTGATTAAAATCACTATCAAAAATAAACGCTTCGATGCAAATCTTTAGATAGTGTTTAATTTTAAAAAAATTGGTGTTTTATTCCAAAAGCTACTTGAT